TTATTTTAAAAGCTTTTCTTTGTCATGGAACATTTATAGATGGAACCAAACAACTGTAGAAGATAGAATTAAGTAAAAGATTTGACAGAGTTGGGGAAATTCTTTATTAATGGGGAATTAGAGTGGGTAGGGATAGCCTTTACTGAGTCCAGCCTGGCAGGCTAAAATGCCTTGCATGAAATTTCCTCTGGAAATTTTAAAGAAGTCATGTGGCTTTTTTTTCTGTTCTGTTGGTACACTCGCTCATGCTATGAAAAATGCAACAACCATTTCTCGTTTTCTTCCAAATTAAAAATAAGTCAGCGATTAATTGTGGATAGCAGAAATGAGAGGAAACCAGGAGAAAGTAACACTCAATCAAACTGTGATGTCATGGTGGACAGCAAGTTACATGTGCATTTTCCACATGCCATGACACCAAAGAAGCCTTTGTGGTTTTAAGTTGCAAGTCGCATGGTATGAGTATTAATTTGAAGGGTCTTATTCTCAGTGGCTTTGTCACAGCTTGTTACAGTCCATGTTGAACTTGACTAATTTAGCTAATAACATCATGTTTTTAAGATGGTTTAAACAGACTTTTTAGAGAAGGGTTCTTATCATTTTCAAACCAAATGCAAAAAAAATTTCAAGAAATTAAATACATTATTTAAAGTAGTGCTGTATATGTCTGTCTATATTCGCACTCGGTGGCAATTCTATGAATATAGACAGAAACAGTTTTTAAGAAGACCACTTTGATAGATTGTCTAAGGTTGCATCAGATTGTAAACCTCATTCCTTTGGATCTTGAATAGAAGCAAAACCAGCCCAAATTTTTAAGTATACAGATGAGAAGGAGCAATGTGTAGCTTCTACTTACTATGGTATACAAGAAATCTAGCACAGGTGGGAAATGAAGCAAATCATACATGATAAGCCTAACAATGCTACTTTGTTTTGTTTTTTTTTTTTTTTAGTATGCCAGTTTATTACAGTGGATGTGCATCAGGGTACAGCTCTTTTCAAACACCATTTCAATCAACCTCAGATAGGGCTCACTAGAGCAATGTAGTCACACACTGGAAAGGAAAGCACATTGTTTTCTCTTTTTTTGGTGTTTTTATGTGAGATTTTGTTTACTGTGGTTTTAGATCAGAAATGTGCAGGTCTCAGCATCTGACCTTTCCTTGAGTTTTATGGTAGCCTTGAATATCCAGCAAAGGGAAACTGTCATGGTGTATTTTTCCTTCCCTGTTACATGATTGTCACCAATAAAAAGTGTTTTACTGTTACCTCTTGACTGTTTTACACAGTAGATCAGGCTGAGTTAAGAGGTGTAATTTATTTCAACTTATTTAACTGTGCTGTGTTTTCATTGCGGACTATTTGCCAAAAAATATCCCATGGAAATTCTTTTATCTGATGACACAGTGAGTTAGCAGTTAGTTATTTCCCTTTCTCTTAAAACAATCATGTTGATGGTCTAACCCTGGCCTGATGAGAAGTCACCAGGCTGTAGTTCATAATATAGCATAGGAAACTCCAGCAAGCTGTTGCATGATATAGTTTCATATTTTATTAAAATATGTTTTAAGGAGAAGCACAGTAACTGTATAGGCTAGTGGAGGGTATAGATGAAGTAACCTTCTGGTTTAAAATTTCCATCTGTCAGTTTTATCAAGTAGACTGTCTTTTAAGGTTTAGGTGGGTTGTAGTTTTTGTTTTGTTTTTAGTTACTGTTCAGACACTTTTATATGGAAGTAATTAAGTTTCAGGTCCAAAGCAGCAGCAACAGTTGAAACAGGCATTCCATGAAGTGGAAAAGTTTTTGTGTGTTTGGGGTTTTTCTGTTTGTTTTTTAACAGACTTGTTTGTAGCCCTTAGACTTGCTTCTTCCCAAAAGAGATGCTGACTTTTATTCCTACAAACCCATGGAAGGTCATGGGAGATCAGCTTTTTCACTGCATAGGCAACACATAAATCACAAAGCAGTGGTACAGAAATAAATCTGTTAAGATAACTACTGCTAATTACTCATCCTCTGGAAACAGGATGGTTCAAGATCTGGACTACAAAATACAGAGCTTTTCACCTCCTACATTACCAGACTTGTTGAATCAGACCAGTGCCCAAAAGTCATTACCATCTGATGGCTGTGAGCCAGTGTGAAATGAGTTACTGGGCTTTATCCAGAATCTAGTGGAGAAATCCTGTCCAAATTGCATAACTATGGCTACAGTTGGCAGGGGCCGGAGTACTTATTGGCAGTCATGGCACAGAGCTTGAGGACTGAACGTACACTAAGAGATGGGATCTTTAGATCTTTTTTTTTTTTTTTTTTTTTTTTTCACCTACATCATGAGTCAATGCAAAGCTTAAATAGGTGATTCTACTTTCGGGTGTGAGGTACCACTGTCCGTAGATGTGTCAAACCCCCTTTAAACAGCATCATTTAAAGCCAAGATGCAGTTAATCCCGATAGTTACTTCACTGTGATTGTGGAGTGAGGATCTGTGATCGCTTCTCTATTGTCTAAAAAAAAAGTTAGCCAGACAAACCAGAAAACAATTAAGGGTTTGCCACATGAGAAATTATTTCAAAGTAAAAGCTTAGTGCTCATGAATTACCATGAAGTCTAGGATGATGTGAAGCAAAATGGAAGAATTTATCTAAGAAGGATTATTTGTTGGCATGTTAGTAAGGGCTTACACTAGACATTAGTTATTCTCATGGTCATTCAGGATAATGCTGACCTTTTTCAGCACCTTATTTTCCCCGTTTTCCTTCTCCTGGCTTCAGGATCTCTGTAGGTGTGCCTTTCTGTAAAGGAGCTCAGGTGAAACAAAGCATGGAGAGAGACGCTCAGTAACCCATTTGGAAAAAAACAACAGCAGCATGCTGCTTCTAAGCACACATTTCCCATTCTGTAACAGAGGCTATCACATGGCAGTTGTGAGTGGTCCCAGCCCTACAGAGGAAAATATCTCTCAGGAGCAGTACTCCAAAGAGACATGAAAGCTGTGGTGGCTGCCTGCCTGCCCTTGTGGTGGAAGGTACGTTGTAAATGCTGGTGTATTTTAGTGGAAACAAGAGAGAAGCTCTAAATTTGATGAAGGTATACTAGTCTGGTGGTGATCTTCAGACATTCAACTTTGATTAATTCCCTGATGCAGTCAGGAAGTTTCTCAGCAGACTACAATAACCTTATTTCTGATACTACTGTTTTTCTTCAGTTGTCCCAAGCTGTGCTGAGTTCATCAGGGACGGGAAGCTAGCCATAAGCAGACTGACAGAATAGGCTACTGCAGAGAAGCAGCCAGATTTAAATAGCCTGAAATACCTTGCTTTCATTGCACTCGCACATAGCTCCTTAGGAGACCTTTCAGAACGAAGAGGGCTTCTAATCCCTAGATAGAGCCAGGGCTGCATGACCAACATCAGCTTGTTACAGCACAGCAGCAAATGCAAAAGGAGTTGGGCATTCACCATCCCGTACTGTGCATTTCACACCTGAAATCAGAAGGCAATTGTTGCCAAATTGGCAAGCTCTTGTGGGTTTCTACATATATGTTACATTCTGGGGAAGGGACTGCTGGAAAGTCTTTCCTCTCTGAAGTCAAGCAACCTTGTTGAAATTCAACTCTGAGCGGAAGAAGTGTGCTTGCATGTTCCATGGTCATCTGCTGGGTGAGAAATCAAAATTTCAGAGGCAAAAGATCTGCCCATCTTCTTAGCTAGCAGTCAGGAATTTAAGTCATGAAGGGATCCAGAGAATGGAATGAGTTTTTCTTCTTAGAAGATGGGAAATGATCCGATTGAAAATGTTATTCCTATGTCTTTTAATTTTATTTGCTTGTTTTCAACACTAAACTGCAATGATTTTACACTAGTTTTGGCCCTGGGCATTAGCTGAAAGCAAAATCATATGCTACATGACCTCTTCAAACTCTTGGAAAGTGTAAATTTGAATGCCAGCCTATTTGTGTCCTAAGTTTTCTGCCAGCTCCACAATATATTAGTCCTGATGATGGAACTTTGGGGAAGATTTTAATTAAGGTCAAAGCAGCAGGTCAGGAGCCAATCAAAATAATAATGCCAATTGTTTCTAGAGACCTAACAGTAAATCGAGAATTTCAAGCCTGCTCTTCAGCTACTCTGTTGGAGACAGCTGTTTGTAAATGACCCTTTAGTAAGATTTCTTACAGAGAAGCAAAAGGAAAGTGAGAAACTGCCAGTTGAGGCTTTTCATGCTGATCGCATTTTTGTCTTTGAGGCTTAAAATACTCACAAGCACTGAAAGCTGATATTTATGAGTAGAGCTGGGGGGAGGGGACTTAACTCCCAGCTCATCACCAACATGTCTAGCTGTAATCTACCAGCTCCATGGAGATTCAGTGCTCTGATATTTTTAGAAGTAATCACCTCCATATATTTCAGCATTGTTCACTCTAAACCACGTTCTTGCCTTTTACTATTTAAAAAAAAAAAAAAATCTATGAATAATTAACTGGTTTTCCTCATTTTCCAAGTAGTGCTTATGCAATTCAGTGAGAGGAAGTGCTGTTGAACTTGTAAGAGCATAACTTTATTAATTCGTTGAATTGTACGTCCATGTTCTGCTCTGGCTGGAGTACCGTAAATCTCTCTGATTCTTATGGGCTTCAGTGACTGTAGGTATGTGCCAAGTAGAGAGACAAAGACAGTGTAAAGGTGTAACCAAGGATTTGACCTGCGTAATACAAAAGGCAAAAAGCTGTATTTCACAGTCTGGAAAGCACAGCATATCTCTTTGGCAGAAGCAGAACTTGAACATCAATTTGCTCTAATGCCACTGAGGCCCAATAAGCCTCAAATCCAGTGACCATTTCAGAGGCTTCCAGAGAAAACCACTGTAGTTAACATCAAGCTCAAATAACTTTCTCAGATTTTGATGGATAGAAATATTTAAATGCCTTCCTTCAAGTCTTGCAACCCAGCCTATAACTATGCCTTTTTTGTTTTTCCACCCCTTATATTTATAGCAAATTTTCTAGACACTATGCCCTTACGAAGTTCTGCCAAGTTGAGCATGGAGACCAGAAGAGAAGATAGTGAGAGCACGGCACCCGCCCCTCTGCCAAAGAAGCTGTCCTGTCAGTGCCACCACCACTGTCCTGAGGACTCAGTCAACAGCACGTGCAGGTTTGTGGGATATCTATTTGGTGGTGAAACATGAGGAAAACCTATATGTGGTAGCTCAGCAGTCCTAGGTTGGGTGTTGGAGTTTTTGTTTAAGCAGTAACTGGATTGTTTATACATTGTGTCTAAAAAATCATAAGTAATTTTTACCTAGAGATCAGCTACATACTTAGATTTTTATGTTAGGGGGTTTGTATCTTTACAGTTTTAGATAATACTTGTGTTAGTTCACTGTATATGAAATATTCTGAAGGTAGGAGTTTGTTTTTAAAGGTGCATGCAGTTAGAGAAGACTTAATGGAAATGTATACTGAAATGTCAGTAAATGCTTATAAATTTATAATTACTGTCTATGGAACACCATTTATAAGAACCCTGCTCTTAGTGTGTGTCTTTGCAATAGCTGAGCTATCTTTTGTAGATCCTTAAGGCTTGTTTTTCTTGTTTCTATGCTAAAAGGATAGTGATCTTTTTCTTGAGGTGTTGAGCATTTTCTTACACTAGCTATAGTCTTCTGTTTGATTTTGTGTTTAGAGTACTACAAGCCCCTCATTTGGGTTGGATTCTGCTTCCTCACATCCTTCTGTCTCCTCAGGGAGGGGCATGTCCAGCTCTGCACAGTCCTCTTGAAGGCACAGCTGTGGTCTGTGTTGACCTAACACTGCGTGAAGCAGCAGAGGTGACTGAGGGTGCCAGTTTGCCCACCCATAAGCAGCTCTTGCTGTACACATATTATGGCTGCTGAATGAGGGTAGTGGTTAAACATCTCTGTCATAGCTTGAGGTGCATGTTCAGTTTGCTTCAGCTGCAGAAAAGCAGGTCAGCCCTTCATATTTCACATGAGAAAATTAAACTTTTCTGCTTACTTAGAGCAGGTGAGATACTGGAGATATTCACATCAGCTATAGCCTAGTGGATTTGTGGGAATGTGAGAAACAAAGCAGGGCACAGAAGTGAACCCAACCAGCCATGCCAGTTGGGTACGCAGTACTGTTTGAGGTGAGACTCTACCATTGTGTCAGCTTTTCAAGGCAGCACATTAAAAAGATAAATGTGGAAAGCCTAAGGTTGCTGAAGATATTGTGCTGGATTTGAGTGTTGTTTTGTAGCCAGTCTTAATTATGTTCAGCCTCCAGTTTCACACTGAAGTGTATCAAAGCTTTGATGACAGCTGTAAATACCATTTCCCATTTCTATCCTCTTCCTACAAACCCATCCTCTAGCCATGAGTTAAGTCTAACTGTTCTCACATGGCAGTCAATTTAAAAAGCTGTAAACCCCACTCTGATATCAATTTGCAGATCCCCTGCAGTGTGAATCAGCTGTTTCCTGTTCCTGCCCAGCAAGAGTCACTGCTTTCACATGTGCTGTCTCACACGCACAGTAACAGGGAAGTTGCAGATGACACTCAAATCCATGACCTGGGAAGCACAAAGGGACCCATGTTAAGGAACCCATTGAACAAGGTTTATACCCCAGCTGGGAAGCCCTGCTGTTGCACTTTGGTTTGTAGGCATTACTGATGTTAACCATTTTTCATGTTACCAGGAGGTATGAGTAAATGTCCCATTAAAATAGATTTATGAATTTTCACCTCTCTGCAATACTTAAAAGAAACTTTCTTCACAAATCCCCTTATAGTGTCAAATACCAAAGTTATTTTTAGGTGTTAATACACAAAGATAGGTAGTTAAGTGGTAGTGAACTACAAAATTATAACCCCTGTTGTCTTAATAATCTTTGTACATTTCAGGCTTGAATGTTCTACTTGAGTGACAAAATTTCTTTTTTTTTTCCAATTTAGACATCAAAATGATAATTGAAATTGGAATTTACCCATCAAATATTAATCACTTTCCTGTCCAGGAAAATGGAAATACTTAAAGACTTGTATTAGAGCTATTCCTCTTTCCTATCCTGTGCTGTTACCTGAGCAGTATCCACCTTGCCACTTGCCCAGTGAGCAACACAAGTGAAAAGCTGCTGAAGTGTTTGGAGTAACATAAAGCAACAAAAAATGAATTAACTTGAATTAAATACCCTTCCTTTATGGCTTGTCAGCAGTAATCATTTTCAGGATGATCACTTTTATGGCTCTCCTTACCGTGGTGTGAGATACAAAGGATACAACACTCCTTGTTCCTTTTCCCTGTATCTACTGAACTGTTAGTCTGTAATACTTTCCTTCTTGAATTCCTTACCACATAGCTGGAATTCTGGACAAAATATGAAAAGGGCCATAACAGAGATGAGACTCCAAAGCCTACTGTTAGGAAAGAGTAGTTATTAGGTCTCCAGTTAGCTGGCTGGGTTGACACCAGGTTTCAAAAGATTTGGCCAAGATCAACCATGTTAGCAGAGATTATTCATTTTCCCTCTATTTTGGGATCTTCCTACTAGTCAGGCAGTAACTTCATACTTCATCTAGCCCAAACAAGTGCTGGCGCAGTTTGAAAGCACTCAGAAATTCTCATTGAACCTTGCTGTAAAGGAAATCTCCCCATATTGAAATTTAAGCAGTATTGATCCCACTGTGTTTTTCTGAATAATAAATGAACTGCTTTAGATTAAAAGTTATTGCATTAATTATTGCTTCCCTCAGATGTAGTCACTAAAAGCCTTTTACATTTTATATTTAAATGAATATCAAACCTCTTGTTAGCTCTATCAGTCTGTTAAGCTTTGAGCTATGCTTGGACTTGCAGTTTATATCTGCCAGCCCTGCAGGAGAAGCCAGCATATGCTGGGGTACCCAAAGGCCTGGTAAAGCCCTGACACCTGGGAAATCACTGATAACATATATAGCCAGGGTGGGGGTTCTGGAGAGCATCAGGCACTGTCCCCTTCCTCTCACCCAAGCAGGGAAGGCTTTTGCATGCCCAGGGGTGAGGGCTCTGAAAGTTCAATGGTAAAACACTTCCAGCTGTGTTTACATTAACTCTCAGAATAAAATAGCTAGTCCTATTGCAATCATTAAAAATTGTTCATAAGAAGTAGTCTGCCATCCCACCTGAAGATTCTGGCCTGCTACCATAGTTACTTATCTATTGAAGTGTAGATCCTGCATGTAGTACCAGTAGTCTGAATGTTTCTATAAAAATGAGGACATCTGGTGGCTATTTCCAGTCTTCTCCGCAATTGTATTTTTAAATGTCAATATTCTTTAACCACATCTGTATCAAACCCTTTTAACAGCCTGCTGTGTTCCTGTACAGAGTTTCCCTTTATATTTCCACAGCTTAAGTCCAATAATACTTAGAAAGCTAAGGATAACACTCTAGCTTTAGGTGCAGATTGTATTCTCTATCAACAGAGGAAAACATAGCTCTAGGTTACGTGCTTTAAAAAAATGGGGTAATCCACAAGCACTAGTTTTGGAAAACCCATTACAGGCTCATCTCATCAAGTGAGGGTTAGCCTCAGAGAGCATGAGGTGGCCTAGCCAGAAACTGAAGGTGATGCTAGGGCCAGCCATATCCTCACCTATCACAACCCCATTTCCCCAAGGGTACCTGAACACAACAAGCAAAGACAGCTGCCCTGAAGTCCTTTCACATGACTAGTAGTGATTCGGATCCAGACAGGAAACAAGGCTGGAGACAGGCACTCCTGTACTATCACTCAGAGAGGTGTTTCAGCCTCAGACCTGAGCTTAAGTAGAAGACCTGGCTAGGGGATGTGAGTGGGTGAGTGGATAGGGGTGTCCCAGGTGCCACACTGGGCAATTGAAGCTCATAAGTGTGCTCTTAATGAAGCTCTAGTGTGCTCACCAGGAGCCCTGACAACACAGATCTTTGCAGAAGGTTTGCAGTCATCTGCTTGTAATGGGTGTGTTAACCTGCAGCATGTTGAAACTATTCTTTCTTAACATCTGTGTGACGCAGAAAAGGCTTTCAGTGAAGAAGCTTAAAGCTGCTTCGAACACAACCAGGACCTTGTTTTACCGTGCCATTTCAAGCTTTGTGTGTACAGAGTGAATGCACAGGCAGTTTGTGTCTAATCATAACTAATTGCATATTTTAAAGAATAGTGTTAGATTTAATTGGTTTTGACTGCAGTGGGATTACAGTAAAGGCAGAGACTGATTAGGTGCCTTGTTGTACTCTAATTTCCATTCGCAGATAATGCTGATGGTTTTTAAGATCAAGCTGATAGAGTTTAATTTCTTACGTATTGTCTACTGGTCTTGATGGTGTTTCTGGCCAACTGTGCCTTGAGGTAGTTTTGGTTATCTAAAGCAATAAAATGATTAAGTTGCCTTTCCAGTGTTACCAGAGGTGATAATTCACTTGAGCTATGTTATTTCTGTTCTCCCATTCTCCAGATGATAGGGTTGAATTTTCTTTGTGATTTGGTATGTAGAAGGAAGATTTCCACAGTGGGCCAAAGCACTGAATTCAGACAACTTTTCTTTTAAGCGCCTTTAATTTTTAGGGTAAAGTTGAACATTTTCTGATAAAGGAGTTGTGGTGAGGTCTTCCAAGTTAACTATTTCAAACTTTTTTTGTTGTTTATTTTCATTTTTTGATGGAATCCTTTATACTGTACCAGAGGCAGTTGAGTCCTCTTTGATGATTCAAATAAAAAAACAAAGGGCAACAGAGACAGATATTTGCAAGCTCCAGTCTTTCCTTGCCCCCTCTGTATGTTTCAAGTGTGGCTATGCAGATGACTTCACCCCAAGTGTTTAAACTGAAACACAAAGTCCCCCTCCCACACTTTTCAACTGTGTCCCAGAAATTCCTTGTTCTTAGTTTTGCTTAGGTCTTGCCCATTAGGTATTTAGTATAAACCTTAAGCTAAATAGTAATGCAATCCCTCTATTGTGACCTGTTGCATTAATTACTCTCAGTGTGGGAGTACTTTGTTGTTACTGTGCAGAAAGTGCTGGAATACCTTACACTTCCCTTGCATATTAAATTTACTTATATTAAAAAAACGAAGTGTAACAGCAAACCTCCATATTAAGTCTGTTGTAGCATTAAAGAAGGAGCTACATCATACAAATTCAACTGCAGTGTAATCTTAAGGTCAAGTAAAAGAGAACATTTGGTCTGTGTTTAAATTTTGGAGACAAAAGAAAGGAATAAAAAAAGTTAAAAAGGAAAAGAGGAAGATGAGTAGCTTTGTTTTGACTGCTTCTTGATAGTTCTCACATGTACTGAAATGGATTTTGCACAGAAGTGAAAGGTGCTAGAGAGCCCTTGTGAAAATGCAGAGGTACCCTGTCAAATCTCACATTTAACGTGAAGCCTGCAGTTTCTAGGACTGTCCCTCACAGATAGGCATAGTGGCATGTTTTCTGCATTGTGACTCCATGTGTCAGGGAGAACTGATTTGTGATCTAGTAGAACAATGCAAGACATATTTGGTGGGCTGGGTCATGTCTCAGTCCTGGGAGAATAGTTACGACATGTAGAATAGAGAAAATTTTGATTGATAGACCTATATATCATCTATGAAAAGATGCTCTGCTAGTATGCATTGGGTATTCTCCATTCTGTGTGGAGGGTCATCATTGGGCACCCAGAGAGCCGAAAGGTACCATGCACAGAACGGCATGTGTGGTAGGACCAACATCACCACCTTTGGAACTCGTGGCAAGAAACTGTGGCCCCGTGTGAGCCAGCTTCTTTGCTTTGCTCCACCTGTATGTCTCTCCTTGCCTTCAGAGTAGCTGTGCAAACATCTGAAGGTGCATCTGGCTCAGCAACTGTGTAATGCTCTTGTTTGGTTTCATGTTACTTCCCTGATGCACAGCTGCTAACTATATTATTTTTTCTGAAAATGTGTTGAGCACATTTACTATGGCTGTTTGTTTATGGATGGTGTCCAAAGTCAGCGTTTTCCTAAACTTGGCCTTCATCATCTTCATTAAGTGAAGGGTGCAACAAAATACGTAAATTAGATGCAAACTGGGAGTCAGCCAATTTTTGCATTAGATTATTTCAGCCAGTCTTTACAGAAGAATATGAACTTCCTACTTTCTGTAGGAATGGAATTTAACATTTTTACATTTTTGATAATTTTTTAAAAGTGTAGAAACTTGCCATGTTGCTTTGGATGGAAATGAAAAGAGCTTTAGCTCTTTCTGATGTTGAAACCAGGAGTATAAAGAGGAGTGGACAAAAACCGTAATACTCATATGGACTCAATTGCAAATAAGATTAAAGATAAGGAATCTTTTCATCAGGATATTTAACCGATCTGTTTGTGATAGGCACTGAACAAAGGGAAGATTTTGCTTTTCTGAGTTATGTATTGCCATCCCTGGCTGCATCACACATGCAGAGAGCAGTACAGGAAATCTTCAGCAGTCAAGTTTTGGTAGCTGAAGTATGGCATCTTCTGTGAGAAATGGCTGTTGGCCAGTGAGGACATCTGTGTGAGCAGCTGCAAAGCTGTTGGCCTCTGTTCCTCTCTTCTGTCATTTAGTAAAGGTCTCCATTAAGATTGCTTTTTTCTTTTGGGTAATCTGTAATTATTGCAGCATCTTCTACATCAGTGTCTGTCAGTGTTTCCTCTGTTAACCCCCTTTATTTTGCTCGCATTTGACTTGGCAAATATGTGGCATACCAAACATGTGCTTACTAGTGATCGCATCCGAAATGTATTTAACCGTTCTCCTCCACCATACTCTAATAAGATGTTGCTTTAGTGTAGTGGAAGCTAGTGGATGTGTACCTGGATGTATTCAGTAACATCAGGTTGAGTTCCTTTTTTATGCTCCATTTGTAGAAACAAATTACACAGTATTCAAATTACACAGTTTAAGAAATAATTCTATACTACTAATCTTTGCTAGGAAGTGGAGAATAGGTGTTTCATCTTGCTTTGCATGTATCAGCAATGTACATATGTTTCTATTTATACAGTCAACGAAATAAACATGGAATTGGAGATGATGCAGACTGATCTGATTTGGTTTTGAGTTGTTATAATAGTAAGAACAGTTTCATTTCTGCCATAGACAGGTATGAGGTAATCAATAAAACAGCAGAGGTATGCCCTGCTCTTTACTTGCAGCATGTGGTCCATCTGACATCCTGTGAACCAGGAGAACAGGTCAGGGGCAGAAGGGGGGAAGCAGGTACTTCTTTCTTTTAAGAAGAGTCACTTCTACTTCTTGCCCAAACACCTGAGATATTTTCAATATGATAATGAGTTTTTACATTGCATGAAAGCTTTCTGGTTTATTTTTTTCTTAGAGATGCAAACAAATGGTACCAGTGTTTATTCTGCTCAGCATTGCTATTTTTGTCTCATACTTTTCCTTCATTACTCTTCCACTGTCTGTAAAGAACATGATTTATCCTTATTGTTGAAGCTTTGCAACTTTTCTGTTTTGCTCTATCCAGTCTAATTTTGTCTTTTTAAAATTGGGCTAAAATTTTCAGAGGGACTGAAATGCTTGAGGAGCCTGAATTTAACTTTCAGAAATGAGCTAAGAATCAGTGTTCCATGGAAGACAGAAAAAAAAAAAAAGAAATAAAGCTGCATACTTTCCTGCTTCTGCCCCCCCCCCCGCAAACAATTTGACTTTTCCTTCCCTTGCTTTCCTCTGGTGAGCTGTTTTGGTTTTGCTGGGGACAGTTAGCTGTGGAGTTCCTTTTTGTGTTTCACTTGATTGCAATTTATTGTTTTGTTACTCTGTCCCCTGGGTTAAACTTACTCATTACTTTGAATCAAAGGCACCATGCAAACAAATAAAATGTAATCTAATATAATATTCTGCTCTAATGGATTCCTTATAGTCTCTTTTCTTGGCAATCCTATTGTTCCTATCTTTCAAGCTTAAGCAATGAAATCAAGGTGGTTGTTATCCAGAAGGGTTGCTGTCTCCTTTGCATTACTCATATGCACAATGTCAAAGAAGGGTAGAAGTCATCTCTTGCTTGTCTGAGAAAGTCATTTGCAACGTGCAACTGGTTACTTTTCAAATCCAGAAGTCAATAACCTGTGATAGATTATTATTTGAAGTAATAAGCTTACTATGGCTAGACCCTGCACCACTAATATAAAAATATGCCACTGCGAATATTTGACATGATCCTATCCAGCATCAGCCTGTCATGTAGTTAATACTTACAAATTGTGTTTATCTCTTACATGTGTAACTGTGCCTCTGGTTTCCTAATCTTCATTGCCTTTGCTTTTATAGCCCTGTTAGATTCTCCTTTCATTCAAGTAAGGACAAATAATGTGAAATTTTGCTGTCTTTCAGTTTTCTAATCCTTTTTTCTTTTTATTTCCTTGTTTTAACTGAGTTTGTTTCTTCTCTTCTGAAAAATACTCATTGCACATAATAACAGTGTTATTTTCCTGGGGAAATAACAGAATATTTTATTTTTATATTACTTAAATGTCTTATATTAAATATTTTTTTCTTTATTTTTGGTTCCTCTTCCTGCAAATCAGTCAGTTTGTGTTTCTTGCGCATGGTGTGTATCTCCCTCAGAGTGCACAGAAATCAGTGTACAGCAGTCTCAGTAAAATGCAAACACCCTTTTTGTGTCTTTCTCCCCCTCTTTCCATAGCGTTCAGGCACTTGACCTTCATTGAGGAAGGACTAGCACCATCTAGCCATCTGTTAGTGTACTTGTCCTCCTGGTGCATGTTCTTGTAAACAGAAGCGTTATGGATCACTTCAGCCTTATAACCCAAGTAAACAGTTATGAAGGGTGTTGATAATAACTCAAGGACTCATACACAAGAGTGTTGCAGTTTGTAATATCGTTAAAACAAGAATCACAAATCACTCTTAATAATATTTTGTATTTAGTACCTCAAAAATGTTTCCTTCTTCAGGTCTTCACCGTGGTGCAAATATTCATGCCTTGTTCCCCACACACAAGGTAGACCTGCTGTAGTGTTGATGCTCGCACTTATATAGGTCTCCCAAGTCTTAACACGCTAATGACCATAGGCAGAGAATTGAGATGTTTGTTAGTGGTGTTTATAGGTGTTAAATGTTGGAAAGGTAAGTGCGAACTCCTAAGGCAGAGCTTCCTTTGTGTGTGCAAGAGCTGGTCCACAGGCCTGTAGGCTGTTGGACTGCACTGAGAGAGGTAGGTTGCCTTGGGTTCCTGAGTCATCCAGCCTGCCTTAGTGCATCAATTTGTTAATGGCAGATTTGCCTTGCAAGGAACAAAGTTTAAGACTATATTCAGCAGCATATATTTCACTTCAAAGCTTTTTCCTGATTCATTCTTTCCAATCCTCAGTACTGATGGCTACTGCTTTACCATAATAGAAGAAGATGAGTCCGGTGGACATTTAGTCACTAAGGGATGTCTTGGATTAGAGGGCTCTGACTTCCAGTGTCGGGTAAGAAAGCATTTGCTGCCAGTGTTGCTTGGCTTTTTGACAGCTTTCAATTGAAGTGCGGTCAACAGATGTTACTATGTCCGTATTTTTCACTTCCGTTTATTTGGTAGATAGGTAGTAATAGGACAAGGGATAATGGCTATGAAATGAAAGAGGAGAAATTTTGGGTAGATGTAGGGAAGTTGTTCTTTACTGTGAGGGCGATGAAACATTGGAACAGGTTGCCCAGAGAATTTGTGGATGCCCCATCCCTGTCAGTGTTCAAGGCCAGGTTGAATGGGACTTTGAGCAACCTGGTCTAGTGGAAGGTGTCCCTGCCCATGGCAGATGGGGGTGGAACTACATGACCTTTAAGGTCCTTTCCAGTCCAAACCACTCTACGGTTACGTAATAGTTGCTCTACACTGATTGCTGAGAAGAGTGAATTTATATCCCTGAATTGTGATATTATAGCTGCTTCTAACAATAGCATAGGTTTTGGGGTTTGGCACTGCTGTTACTAGTAACAGTTCAGCTCAGAGGAAGTTCAAATTTAGAGAAATGCAGTCTTAATTCCTGAAGTGTCCATGGTAGCTAAAGTTAGTTAGGATGTTATTTGATGGACCACAACAATCTTCGTGTCTTACATGAAGTTGTGCTTTAGTTTTTGGATTTCTGGTGCCAGAAATTCCCTTCAGGTGCAGTGACCACCTGATGACTACTGCAGCAATGGAATGGCTATGGGCAGTGGAGCAAGGTCACTGTAAAGTGTTTGTCTTTTCTAGCATTAACCTTAAATGATTCTACGTGAGTACAGGAACAGTATAACCATCAAGGTCCATGAAAGATATTTTACCCAGCTTCCCATGAGATTAGAAGTGACAGCTAAATTAGCCCACAGAAATTTCAGTAGTATTCTGGCTAAACTGTTTTGAATACTCATGTTAACTTATTTTTTAAATACAGATCTAACTGATGGATTCATTCACAGTTCTAATAATTGCACCATTAGAAACAGTCAGTCCCTTCTGCAGCACTAAGGCACTAACAGAAGTCTGTTAGGGGTGAATGGATCTCTTAATTATCTGGATGAAATGTTGCTGGATATGTTCAGTGGCAAATATCCTTACTCTGCACATCCTAGAAATCTGTAACAGCCTGCAGTCCAGCTAACAAGTGCATCTTTTTCTCAAGTGCCAGAATGATGATGTATATGTACAACATAGATAATTACTTTCTATCAAATTGTTTGTTGCAGGACACTCCTATTCCACACCAAAGAAGATCTATTGAATGTTGCACAGGCCAAGATTTCTGTAACAAACACCTTCACCCTACGCTGCCACCACTGAAAACTCGAGGTAAGGGAAGGTAAATCCAGTACCAAACCGACCTTTTCCTGCTGTTTCTCTTTGTGCCTTAGGAAGAAACAAAGCCCAAGCCCAAACCCAAAGCACCCCCCTTCAGCTGCACATGATTAGAAAGATAAACTGCATTAAACAGTGTTGCTGAATTCCTGTAGGTGATGTGGGTAGCAGTGCCCTGACCCATGGTTGCTGATACTTGGTATTATTTCTGTTGCATGCATGTAGTGAGCACCAGATGCATTAGTTACACGATTCTATCCTAGCACAGGCCTGCTGGCTATCAGTGATTATCCCAAAGACTTCTGTTTGTCATGGCAGAGGATGCCTTTTGCTATGTACGTTGTTAACCTGATAATAAAATTGAATCTTATTTCTAGTCCCTGCAGCATGCATTACTGTTCACAACTCCACACACATCTGGGTCCAGGTCTTCAGTCCAGGTTGACTGAAGACTGTTAAGCTTTTCTTATATAAAAGACCTGATAATCTCGCACTAGGACAATAATTAGTCACTTAAGTGGTTTTCCTACATGAAAAATGCAGCTGAAAATAGAATGTAGGGGAAGAGCCCATGCAAATGGATGTGTACTAACTTAGTAGATTCTGGGGCAAGATTATAGCTTTTTCATTTGTTTGTTTAAACATCACTTCCTGAAAGTCGGTAAAACTAGTTTGGCTGGATGTTGCAGATAAATTTTATAGAAATGTATTCCAAAGTAACTGTAAGCTCATCCATGATAAACTCTTGGCACTGGCAGCAATGGCCAAGATTTGAAGTGGTCAGCATGGAGATTAGTCTGCGAGAATCAGTTCAAGGTTGCAGGATAGTTTGTAATCACGATGTTCTGAGTTGAAAATCTGCAAACAGCAGATACTTGCACAAATGCATGCTCAGAGAAAGCTTTCACTTCTGTAAGCTGTTCCCTTCATGTCTATGAAATTCTTCACAGGTGGGCTGCAAAATCAGACCTGTGGAGAGTAGTATGCAAATATTTCACTGTTTACTAGCAAGCCGTTAAGTCAGCGAAACCTCATAAAGTTCTTGACTTCCAACATAAGAGTTATGTACTACTTTGTTGGTTTTTTCATTTCAAAAAGTTCTTTGGACTGAGAGAGGAGCTCTAAAAAGAAGTCAATATTTGTTCATACTTAGTATGTCAATAAATGTAATTTTAGTTAGGAAGACACTGCCGTGATTTCTTCCTGCTGCTGACTGGGTTTATTCTACATTGAAACTACTTAAAAATACTGAACCAATACCTAACACTAGACATCTACCTTATTAAGATTTTAGTTATTTGGCAATACTCTCTGCTACTTATACAGAAAGCAATAAAACAGTCTTTTGGTAGAGGCAGAAGTTGTTTGGATCAATGTTGATTTTGCTCTGTGTGTTTAGGCACCATGGTGGCAGACCCATAAAACAGCAGAGAGAATATTTGTTGAAAGAAAAAATTTACAGATTTGGAACAGCATTCTACCGGCTCTGTGTTGCAAAGTTGTCTCTTTAGCAGGACAAACAAAAGGTGTTGTATTCACTCAGCATACTCTGAAGACTTCTGTTTGAAATATGCTTTCCGCTAATGGTATCCTCCTAGTATAAAATTAAAATACATTTCAGGAACTGCTTCATTAATGTGGCTGGACAGGGCTAAAGTCAGCACCTCTATTAAGGCCTTAAGGAAATGTGTTGTGCTTGGTGCCAAGCCTGTTTTAATTTGTCATTGCTGTGCCCTAATCTGAAATCTCAGAGAAAAGCCTTAGTTTTCACTGCAACCAGGTACAGATATAGTTTTGAAATACATGCTACTGCCACTACCAAGTGCTATGGCTGTGAGCAGTTTCTATTGGAAACATTCAGATCAGGCTGTGATTGAGTACTGTTAGAATTGTCTATCAAATTTAACGTAAACTGTAAGTACAAAGAACGAGAAGATGAACTTAAAAACAAGCTTCTAGGAGCAACCTTCTGACCTCCAGGATTCCATGAAAAATATGTATGCTCCTCAGCATTTAAAAGCAAGCAGAAATTTGGCTTCTGATGAACTTGTGTCCGAGGTCATATCACATGGGAAACAGTCTAGGGAGAGCATGCAGCTGCAGGTCAGAGGTTGCTGAACTGCAAATTAACCTATGCACCAAGGTAACATCACAAAGGCAAGTCACTTACGTTCCCAAAGTTCTTTTCCAGACCTGGCATGTACTGGAAAGTGGATTTTACCCTCATCCCCCTACTCACTCCCCCGCCATGAAAAGAAAACAGGATCACATACATGAGACTGGGACCTAGAAGAATTAACACTGGTCAAAGTAAGGCTTGTTAAGCAGGATGGAAGAAACAACAGCTAAGCCTAAATTTTGAGTTCATCTCTGTACAGAACTAGCAGGATAAAATACCCCCAGAGAAACCATGAAGTCCTCATCCCAGCTGTACATATGTCTTATTAAGGAAATGAAAGTCTTAATTGGGTCTGATACAACACCTTCGCTTTAAACAATAAAAGATATTCCTGGAAATCCTAGCGAAAGTGAAGGCTGAGACCAGTCAAAAGGAGAAATATGTCTTTACTGATTTAAAACCTATATAAGCAGAAGTAGTGGTGCCACCGTGTCTGGCTCCCTGCCTGTAGAGCTTGTGATGAATGGTCAAGGGAATGATTGGAGGAATGATGGGGTTTGATGTGTGCACACAGTCTCCACGCCTCGGATTTCACTGCAGTTTTTACTTGGATAACTGTAACATTGTGAACTGGGGAGGGAAGAGAACCTCCTCTCCCTTTGATATGCTGACTTCTCCCTTGAACCTGCTGGGTGGCATTTTCAGTGAACTCCTCAGCATGGTCTTGTGTATGGGAGAGTGAGGGGATCAAGTGATGGAGGAGGGGGAAATCACAGGAAAATAACTGAGAGGCAGCTTGGTATCACCGAAGACCTTCCTTTTGTGGCCCTTTCTCCCTTTCTGTGCTGCTCACCATTGACACCAGCACGCACCACCATTTTTGTACAACATAAAACTGCTAACGTGCCATTTGCTGGGCTTCGCTGTTACTGGCCAGCTGAGGTATGTGAAGAAGCTTCCAAAAGCTACTGCATGTTTGTTTTGCATACCCCCCACTGCAATTGCTCACTGCTGCCTCCGTGGAAGCTACTGCTCATTCTCATAACCCTGCTGCTTGGCACATTGCAGTTGCCAAGTAACATAACACTCGAAAGCAAAGTACTGCTGTTCTTAAAGGACAGAGTCTCTCTGTCACACAAACTGACACTGACTGGTACCCACTACTACCTTTGCCCAGGAGCCCATGAGCCAGTGATTAAGTGGACTCAAAGCTGAGCTGCCCCATCCCTCTGCATGGTCAAGGAGGTGCCAGGAAAGGGAGGTTTGTCCTATGCTCTGTGGAGAGCAGCTTGGGCTGTAGGAGGAGGAAGGAGTTGGTCTCCAGCAGCACCAGCCTGGCTCAGTTCAGCAGAACAAACAGATGTTACTCATGTAAGAATGGGGGCATGCTTTTAATCTTGTGTTGGCTATGTGCCAATGGGTTTATGAAGTCCTCAGGTGAGCAAGCAAATGACATTTTGCCAAATGCTTTGAAAATGCAGGGAGTATTTAAAAGGTGAGACAATAGCTCGCTTATCATCCCTATCGCCTCTCATAATACATAGCCAAATAAAGACATGCGGAAATTATTCTCCTCTCCTGTGAGAGCCAGTTGCATACCCATGCTGTGCATAGTGAACCACTGGTAGTGGTCATGTGTTAGCTATAGGGGACATCACCTGCTGTAAGAGTGTAAGCATCACTGCTACTGGAGTCTGCATTAGCCACTTGCAGCATGCAGATCAAGACATATTCCTTTATGTCTTGCATGTTGCCTTGTACTTGCTTCCCATAATTGCATTTGAGTATCAAAAAATCTGGCAGTGCTGGAGTCTGAAGTTGGAGAGCTACACAGCACTCTGGGAAAATCAGACTGCTTTTGCTGACTTTTCTGAATAGGAGAAGCCCATTAGAAGCATTGAGCACAGAGTGTGGATTGTTTAAATCCTAAATATGTCTGGAATTTGATTCAAGATTTCAGTATCATTATCATCCCTCTCCTGAGTGTACATACTCAGACACACACAGGCAACATGAACCGTATGGATGCTTTACAAGTTCTGGTAGTGCAACACCTCGTGTCTGTGTAAATGCACAGACTTCTGTGGCTATAATGCCTAGCATACACAAGTATGAACAAGATCTTAATTGCGCCCTCTGCATTTGACATCAGCTTTCATTACTGCTAAGCATAAAAGCCCATCTTCCATCATGGCTTATTCTGTGAAATGGTAAAAGCTTTGCTGTTGACAGGTATCCAGGTTCCTCTCAAGTGCGAAATCCCAGTATACGGTATGTGTGCTGTGTTCATCCTCTCCTCAGCTGATGGGCTGCAGCGTCTTAAACTGTTGCAAACCACACATTTTAGATGGAAATGGCTGGCCAACCCATGCTGCTTAGAAAGCATGAACTAGAGCCCTTAGCCCTGCTGAGCAGCCTTTGTGGGAGAGGTCTGGATTCCCCAGTGGGCTCTCAGTTTCGGCTCACAGCCCACTTGGAGTGGCAGGCCAGGGAGAAATCTGCTGTGGCAGGGAGAATGATGGGCTCCACTGTTTTCCTGATAGACATCGTGTCAGTGTCCCCTTTCAAAGGCATCAGCTGTGTCTTGAATGTTTACATTTTTAATGCTCCAGGAGCAGGGAATGGCAGGTTACAATATGACCAGTGTGATCAAAAGGTGCGTTGGTAGGTAATCTCTGTTTGTAGTGGAAAGGGGAAGGAAAGAAATAGTTTGGGTACAAAAACAGAAGGAGAAACTGGATCTTAAAAATAAAAGCCTGACAGTGAACCAAGAGTCCCCTAGGAATCTCTTCTCATTACCCTTGTAAATCTGAAATGTAATAGTGCTGTTCCAGGATGAGTTGGTAAGGATAGATTTCTTGCATATTACAATGTATTGGGCATTAGTGTGAAAGATGCAAGACAGCAAGGCTGGAAAAGCTTCAGAAAACATCATCCTTATTTGCATTGTATCAGATAGCAACTCTGTGAGGGTGTTATATGTACCTACATGCTAAAATACCATAGTTCTGAGAGTCTGGGGGGTAGGGGAGGTTAAAGAGAAATAGTGCTAGGTTTCTTTGGTTCTCAGCAGAAGAGGATGCATGAAGGTCAGACTCGCCTGAGTTAGGAGTACAAATTTGGAGATTAATGGTATACTTTAAAGGAGACTATGAGTCTCCCATGCAAAGATTGACCAAAACGTTGTAATAGTTTTTACATAATGGCATTTTTACAAGTTATTTGACACATTTAATTTTCAGAGTGTTTTACAGAATAGCTGCTGGAAAGATAGTTTTGCCCATGAGCACAGGAAGACTTGCTGACACACAGTGCTGCTATAGAGTGAATGGAGGAGAAAAATTCCTGCTCAGGTGTTTAAAAACAGGATCTAAGAGATTATTCTGCAGTGATGGAAAGATGCTTTCAAGGCCTCTTATGGTCTCCTTTCTTAGGGGTGGATGGTCCTCTGTGTCTTCTCTCCTAGGATAAATGCAATTATTGTTTTTTTTTACATTAACTGCTTGATAGGATGCTACTTAGTAAGAGTGATTTAAGACAGTGGCAGTAATTTTACTATGTCCTGGCTGATCACTTAGGTTAAGATACAGAGCTACAGGTCTTAATTGATTTTTTCATTCAGAGTCAAACAGGGAGTTGCAGATCAAGGTGATGTTTTGCCTTATTGAGGGCTGAAAAGACAAATAGGCTTTTGGAGGTTCTGCTTCTGCCTTGATCAGTGAGGGTCAAGGAGGAAGTGTACAAAACACCTGGGGAAACCAGGGGTATCTTGCATAGGACTTTGGTAGAAAAGAGAGGAAATCATGTTTGCTGCACTTCTGAAGGTGTGTGTGCCTCTTAATACTGACTTTGTACCACTTCCCTTTCCAAATTTTCCACCTTCCTGGTTTTAATCCCAGACTTTGCTGAAGGAAACATTCACCATAAGGCCCTGCTGATCTCGGTGACTGTTTGCAGTATTCTTCTGGTGCTTATCATCATATTCTGCTACTTCAGGTAAATAAAGAATATTTTACCAGCTTGTTAATGTTCCTCCCAACATTTATCTTGTTATAGACAGGAATTTGAAAAAATTGAAGTTGACCTTAAGGAAAAGAAATGGAAAACTGTAATTTTATGATAAGGAAAAATGTTTATTTTATTCACCCTAATCACAGGTATACCTATGAGATGTATTTCATACAGCATCTTTTGCCAAAAATCCTAAAAATCCATTCAGGTAGAAGCACAGACTATTCTTTGCTGAGTATAAGAAAGCCACAGGACAAATTTTAGATAGGGTGAATAAACCTAAGGCTTCTAAGTGTGTTTACGTGGTGACAAACTGATCATAAAAAAGAGAGGGATACAGGAATGTAAGTAAATATGTCTGGAATGTCATCAAAATCTACGTGCATTATGTTTAACCAATTTGTTCCAGTTTTTAAATAGTCCAAATCCCATGACCTTACCTCCTCTAGCTCTTGAAAGATCCACTGCAGTCAGTAAAATAAAACTGGGTATTTCTTGGTCTGTGTTTTAAACGTATTTACATTTCTGAAAGAAAAACATTTGGTTGCTCTGCAAACTTACACCGGATTGCACAGTCTTTGAGTTTTATACTGAAAGCATTAAACATTGCTAAAAATAAAATAGAAAGTTTTGGGCAGTAAGTCCAGTACATTCCCCAGGGAAGCAGAGGAAGCTGTGAGTCCATAAATGAAGCAAGATGTGGAGGTCCGTGTGCATTATTCATTGCACATGTGTTCATTGTATTCGAAGCTAATTTCACTTTCATGTAAAATGGCAGATACAAGCGCCAAGAGACGAGGCCCCACTACAGCATTGGGCTGGAGCAGGATGAAACCTACATTCCCCCTGGAGAGTCCCTGAAGGATTTGATCGAGCAGTCCCAGAGCTCAGGGAGCGGCTCCGGACTCCCTCTCCTGGTAAGGAAGCAGTATTATCTCAGAGCAAGTTTAAAAGGCAAGAAGAATGAGTAGAAGATGACAAAATGAGGCAGAATAAAATACATTTGTGTGTCCTCATTTGCTGTTTTAGGTTGTTTTTTTTTTCCTCTCCCAGAAATGAAAAGGATTTAAGCTGGGGAAGAGCTGTTTTAGAAAGCTGGAGACTGTTTTTTCATGCAGACTACACTAGAAAAGCTAAAGAGTGTTTTTTTACCTTAGTTCATTTCTTATTTTAGATGCCATAGAGTAAGTACAGGCTAATAGAGCTCACAAAAATTCATCAGGATTTGCCCCACTGTACAAGACAGCATCTGGCAGACTGATCTTATTTTCTTGCTTTTTATGTGCAACACACAATAGCGTTTCAAACATTGACACACCGTCTTTATATAAAAGGAATTGTAATTCATCAAACTGGGAACCTTTTTATGTGTAGACTTCACTGTGTGTTCAGAATTCAAGAGTGAATTATTTTCCCTTGTCGTCTCAAAGGTTAAAGGCACAGGGATGGAGTTTGTGATTATTTCTGAACTGACTCCAGAATGACTGAACTCCTTGAACTCACCTGCTGAAAAGGCAGAAGTTTTACCTTCTGTGGCAAAACAGTTCTGTTCAGCAGGGTTTTTGGTTCTAGGGGTCATTGTTGCTTTTAGTGCTGAAACAAAACAAGATAAAAAAGCCAGGTTACTTATTTAAAACTACTGTTCTGAGAAAATGAATTAGATTTTATTTTCTTTTTTTCAGAGATGATGTGTCCCTCCTGTCTCCAAAAACTATTAGTTTACTGTTCCTATTACTGTAGATGTTGCCCAGTTTCCAAGTACCGTGTACTATCTATCTGGTTTTTGCCCGCACAGTTTTTTTATGCACCCTAAAGAAGTAATAAAATTGGAGGTTTTATAAATCCTTAAAATTAAGCAACAGGATAAGTGGTTGGCAAAAACCTGACTGAACACAATTTGTTCTGACAGGAGAAAATGCTTAGAGCCCCATTTAAATAAAGTGCAGACTTTTTTAAAAATCCAGTTTTCTGACAGTTGACAAGCTATTGAGGAAAAAGCCAGGCTGCCAAGCGGGTGCTGTGACTGGGGATGAACATGGAAAACCCGTGGTCATTTTTCTCCATCATTTAGGTCTAGGCTTTAAGAAAGCTCTGTCATATCCCATACCAATGTCCCTCTAGCATTCCCAGGGAGTGCTTACAATTTATCTAATTGTGAGGGGCTCTTGCTCTTTTTTTGCTTTGGTTTTTTGGATAACGCCTGCCACATCAAGGTCCTGGTCTGCACTTATTGCGTCTACCTGTTGTAGTAACAGAAATAGTATAATAATTTAGAGCAAACACTAGGAACTTGGTTGTTCTTCTCTGGAGGATGTGTTTCCAGCAGTCCATGTGGGTAGTAGGCGCCCTGAGGCATCTCATGTCAGTGCGTGGCTTGCTACTTCATCCTAGGATGCCCGTGAGACAAAAAAGATTGAGGAAGGCAGGATGTGGCTTCTTGTTCTTTATACCTTCCTCTGTCCCTGTGAGCTGGTTAAGATGGGATGTATGGTGTTACTGGTGTCCCCAGGTCTACTCTTGCAGTTTGCAGAAAACTAACCTGCTAATCAATTGCTGTAATGACCAAGGTGGCGTCCCAGCTGGGTTGTTGCTCAGTACTTATCAGAGCGGTGCTGGTGCTCCATAAAGCAGAAACCATTCTATCTTCTGCCAGTCCTCTCTCAAGCCTGGAGACTTCGCAGCCTCTGGACCAAGTATTCTTCCTGAAGGCTATGAAAATGCATACATTTTTTTCCCCCAGACTTTCCTTTTAAGTAGTGTTTTTCTGTGGCATCGAAGAAAAAGGAGAGCTATAATGAATTTTGCACTTGGTAATAGATGTTCGCTTCATTTCCCAGAGAGCTATAACTGCTACAGGCTTGCTAGAAATGCTCAGATTAATACTTCTGGGTTGACGTCTGAAACAAATATATAGGAAGTGCCTGGCAATAATGCTCTAGACTTTATTGTGCAAGAGTTTGTTTTCAACTGTATTATTTCTTACCAGCACAAAACATCCAAAGTTATTATTCCAGGAAAGTAAGCCACAGATTTATTACAAAATGTCACTTTATGCTAAACAGTAATGTTTGCCTTCTGTGCAAAACATTTATTCTAATGGGTACAAATATTATACCAAAACCAAGCATTAACCAAGGTTTTATTGATACTTTGACATTCAGGAAACGTTCTTTCTCCTGACCTGTTTGTACCTCTGACATAGAAGTTTGCTGCAGGTTAAATGCTGCCAATCAAATTTTAAACCAAGACAAATAAATTTAGTTCTAAATAAAGGCTTTGAGCCAACAAGCCAGGGTGCACAGTCAAGTCTGTGCAAGCAAGCAGAATCCCATTGGCCTTGACAGAGCAAGAAGTGTAGGGTGAAGCTGTTGCCCCCATGAATCCACATGCAAAACTGGAGAAGGAGATTAGACACTGGAGATATTTATTGCAGTCTGTATGAAGATTTTGCTGAATTAAAGCTTTTTCTTTAGCTTTTCATGTACTTTTTTCCTAATTCCTCTCCCAATGAATTTCGCTTTTCAAGGGACTGCAACCCAACCCAGTCAAAATATTGATGTTACAAAAGGTTGGTTTGTCTGAATTTTCATCTGAGATAGCTGAACATATTTAGCTGAACATCACAAAAACAGAATGCAGAAAATAGAGACAATGGGTAATTGGGAATGCAGAAAATAGAGACAATGGGTAATTGGACTGATTACAGCTAGGGAGGGGAAACAAAGGGCCATGTAACCTTACCTGGCTGTTCCTAGAGCTCAAGTAGCAAAATGCACAGAAAGAAATAACTCCCCCCCCCCCCCCCAATCTACTCAGTGTAAATAATTCATATCATATCATATCATTCAGAATGCTCATGAAATCAGTTCACCCAACAATTTTGATTAACCGATTTGTTTTAGAAATTGTAATCAGTGTATGATTCAAGAAAGGGCTAAATTCCTTAAAATAAAATAAATTGTTCATAGGAAATCATTTGACCAGTTCTAGCAAGAGAAAACCAGGTTAAGGACCTTCACATAGCATTCTGCCGCCTGAAAACCCATAACAGAAATGCGTTTTCATTTTCTTAATGTAATTTAATAAGGAACTTTTCATCATTAAGTATTGTAATTCCATGTACTTTATGATGCCATTACATATATTTACACAAATTATTTGATGTAACTGCATTATTGTTCAGGATGCATTTTTTAAATGGGCAAAATAGAAAGCAACAATGCTAAAATGACATTACAAAATGTTACAGTAAAATTCCAATGTAATATAACTGTTGTTCAATCACTATCTGAGAGTATAAAAGAAAATAAATCAGTTTAAAAAATTAAGGCTAATCTCTGTTGTTGGCTTTCACTGATATTATTCAAAAATAATGACACTGAAGCCACCATCTTGGAAGTCTAATAATGCATTACAGGGCTGGAAAAACTAAATTCTGTTTAAATGACAGAAGAAAAAAGCTGGGACTTTTGAAATAGCTTTTATAAATGCCACTGTATGTTTTTCTTCTTTAAATTGCCTAATATGAAAACGAGTAATTATTTACAAAATAAATTATGATAGACCTTTCCTAATAGGTTTTGATTTCATCTTTGGACATACATTCATGCTCCAGTGGGCTTGTGTCAGTCCTGCTCTGCAGTACCAAACTGGTAGCTTCCTCTGGACTTCCCAGGGATAACAAAGCCAGTGATTTTAAAATCAAGTTTTGATTATTTCTGTCAGCCAGGATTGCAAAAATGTGTGGGATTACATGGAGCTTTCCTAGGGATTTAGATAGTGCACACTTGCTGCAATAAACTGCTTGAAATTTGCATACAAATCATGGCAAAAGCAAGAGAACTCAAATTTGCATTTGTCCAGATTGTGCCAAGTGCTTGGACCAGTTGAAAAACCAAAAGTCATTAACTGGATTGAACTGGCAATACTGAAGAACAAGAGGGTGGCATTTTAATGCCTTGTTATACCAGGGTTAGGCTGAGTCAAGTGTGAAAACCAGTGGGTTGTGTTGCGGCACCTACTCAAGTTTTTATTTTTGGACTTTTAGAAATAAGTGATCCATAGGCATACTCCAGTCCTGTGAGAATGTATTAGGCTTCATTTATCCAAGATTTTTTCTAGTCATAAAAGCTTGTTAAATGTAGAATCAGTCCATCTGATATTGGAGTCTGCCATCCTTATGAGCGATGTCTCTGCAATGCTGCCGAGTACATTGACCTGATGCTACAACTGCCTATAGCTTATGCTACATCTGACTTCAGCATCAATTCACAGTTTGGCCATTGACAAAGCTGGTACGGATACTAGACAGGGTAGATTTAAAGCTGTTCTTCCATATCTTCAGAAAAAAAACCTGACTTTTTATTACTGTGTAATGATGGTTATTAAAATTAATGTAGGCACATGGGTTCTAACTGTGTAAGTAGTGGTTGAGGTTCCTAACATCAAATTTATATCTGTTGAAATTATTAGCCATGGGATTTTCAGGCAAAGTGTTAGGGAGCAATTTTGCTAGTTTTGGAGCACTGATATGCTTTTGGCTCTTGTGAGCCCTGCCCTTGAGTCTTAGTTGTGTTGAGCATGTAACAAACATTCCCATTTTAATAAAAAATGTGTTAGCTACCCCTTCAGAATTTGTTGTGCATTGGGCTGGCCAGGAGTGTTTTCAGTCAAAGCTTTTCCGGAAATAACAAAAAAATTCCATCAAAAGTAGCAACCTCCCACAGGAAAATAAAAATTTCAGGGGTTGTTGGCCAATGTTTCCTTCACACACACTGATTTACTTTCTTGAGAGGCCATGGTGTGTTTTGGGATTGCGTGCAAAGGCTTCTTCACAGTGGCAGGAATGGCTTCACCCATTCTGTGTCTGGGGAAAACAGGGAGCATCCGTGCTGCAGTGCTTTACTGAAATCCACATTACAATGGCTGTGCATCCCCCTTTCCAACACGCTTGCAGCACAGGAAGAAGGTGAAGAAGGAGGGAGGTGAATGCTGAGCAAGTTGTAACTGCCCATCTTGGCATTTCACAGGTTCAAAGGACAATTGCAAAACAGATTCAGATGGTAAAGCAGATTGGAAAAGGCCGCTATGGAGAAGTCTGGATGGGAAAGTGGCGTGGCGAAAAGGTAGCTGTGAAAGTTTTTTTTACCACCGAGGAGGCCAGCTGGTTCAGAGAAACAGAAATCTACCAGACTGTTCTGATGAGGCATGAAAATATTCTTGGTGAGTGAAATTAAAGAGAATTATTTGATAGCTTATAAGTTTCTTGAGTTTTAATAGTTTTGTATTTCCTGTTGTCTGATGCCCTTTCCTACGCGCTTTGTTACCTGCTGTGCTCCGCAATTATCCACCCAGCACTTTCCAAAAGAAAGATGTTTCAGGGATTACTGACGCATAAATAAAAGTTAAAAAAGAGTGGGCTTGGGGGACTGATGCTCCAACACTGCGTCTGTTTCTGCCACCTGTAGTTCCATATCTGGGCTTTCTGAAAATATGTTAAAGGCTAGAGGTACATGGAAGTAAGATGAAAGAATTTAAATATGTTATTAAAATAAAACCATTGAAGTGTCTTGTCAGTTGAGAGTTCTGAGCAACCAAAAAAGCCCTGAGAAGTATTATAAATGAAAATCTTTTTTCTGCAGGATTCATTGCCGCAGACATTAAAGGTACAGGATCTTGGACCCAGCTGTATCTCATCACTGACTACCATGAGAACGGCTCGCTTTATGATTATCTAAAATCTACTACCTTGGACACAAAAGCTATGCTAAAACTGGCTTACTCCTCGGTTAGTGGCTTGTGCCACCTTCACACTGAGATCTTCAGTACTCAAGGCAAACCTGCTATTGCTCACCGTGACCTAAAAAGTAAGAATATCCTGGTGAAAAAGAACGGCACCTGCTGTATAGCAGATTTGGGCTTGGCTGTTAAGTTTATCAGGTGAGTAGAAGTGAGGAAGGCAAGGAAAAGTTGGTAGATCAGAGGCAAACTGTGGTTTTGCTCATGTCTGAGGAAGTGTGTACATGTGAATAAAGCACCTGCAGTGTGTGTGCTCATGTCTGTGTGTCAGGAAGGCTACCTGTGTGGGTGAGAGTGCGACATAAATACATAATGTGGGTGTATAAACAATTTTTAACTGTCAAGCACATTAGTTGCATTTGCATGAAGGTTCCATTTTCATCACTTTGCTCTCAATAGCAACCCAAGCATTGCTGCCACATGCTAAAAGGGCATAGCACTGACAGGGTGATCATGTCAGTAAACTTGTCACTGAAGCTTTCAGTTTGTCTGATCCCAAGGTAATACAGTCACAACTTATATAGCATAATATTAAACACTTGCAGAAGTTACTAATTGGGATTTATTGAAAAGCACCCCATTTGGACTGCCTTTTGTTTCATTTCCTACAAATCAAATTGCTGAAGCACAGATTTAATTTTTGAAATGGCTTTTAAATTTGATTAAAAAAAAGTTAGTTGTGTGTTTAAACAACTTAGAGCAGACAAGTAGGACAAGTTACTCCTGGGATTCATAAAGGAGTCATTGCTGTCTGACAGCTCCATTGAAAAGGAGCTTGAGCTCTCAGCAGTGGTAGAGATGCGTTCAAAGTGCCTGAATTTCCTGTGCACAGAAATGTGACCATGCACTGAAGGTTGCAGTTTCAGAGGTCAGCTTTGAAACCGTGTGCTCCCTGAAGTATCAAACAAAATAAAAAAAAAAAAGGAAAGTAAGAATTCTGTACAAATCTTGAACTGAAATTGTTCAGAAGGTAAGGAAAGGCAAGTTTTTCTGTTCTCACTATTCACTCATCTACCTGATTTCTTGGTGAGGCTTTTCCCTTATGAACCTAACCTGTCTTTAGGAGATGAGGAAGGAATATTTTTACGTTAAGGAGTGGGGTCCTAGAAAAAAGCAACTTGGAAATGCACTATTTTCTGTAAAAGCTTCAGGGAAGAAATTCACCCTTTGTGGGTGCTCCTTGCCTGACAAGTACAGAGGCAGCATGCTGCTTAGGTGTGAACCAAACTAGGTGTGAACCAAACTAGGAACTACCAAGTGTTGCTATAAAAGAAGGTGAAATACGTATTTGCCATAGTCCAAATGGAATTTACATTACGTACTTGACTTGTTTTTATGCTGAATCCTTCCCTAGGCAGCATTTCTCAGGCAATGATGAGGGCAGAAAAAAGTAATTGAAAGGGGTGTGCTCTGCTGAAGCTAATGAGTTAAGTTCTCTGCTTTCTCATTTTATTTGGGATGTTGCAAGGCGCTGCAGGTCACTAAATTTATGTTACATTCTTGGAGGTATGCAGAAATACCACCAGCATATGTATGATTTAATGACTGTGTAGGTGGCCTCAGGCTCAGCTTTTTTTGTCATTTTCATAATGGTGAAAAAAAATTGCTCTAGGTGAAAAAAATTACGGAAGAAGTTGTGTAATTATCCTGCAAGATTTCATTTTATCCATCACATTTAAAATATGTATGTTTTGAATGTGGAGAAAATAGACCTTTTTAAGCTAACCACAATATATACCATATTGAACTTTTAAAAACATTAAAACTGATGCAGCTGAATCTGAGTTAATAAGAAAAAAAAAGGTACTAAATCCTGTCACATCATTAATGGGAATTTTCTTCCCATTAGGTATACATTGTATTTTCTGGTAAATGTGTGGAGTGTAACACATTTGATTAGATTTTTTTACACGTTTATGTCTCTCTGTTTACACATCTTGATGTGTAAAAGTTGGGAGAGATCAAACATAATGCATGCACAAAAAATGGTTATACTCCTGTTCCCTGCAGAGCTGATTTGCTATAGCTAAGTGATCCTGCCCCAGCTATAAAGTGTCCTCAATTAATTGCTAAGACTAAAGCATTAGGTGGTGGAGTATGTTAAGAAAATTGCATTTGATGAAGATGTGATTGTTATCACCAGCATTAGAGCTCAGGCTTAATACTATTGAAATCTCACAAACTGGTTCTGCATTTAAATGCTTAACATAGCCTCAGGTGGGGGTCAGCCTTTTAAGGAGGGTTGCCTTTAAGAGGCTTTCCTTGTAAGAATTGTTCCATTAAGATTATGCATTACTTTGACCTTATTTGAGAGTGGGTATGGTGTGAATTTACTACTTCTCTCCTCTAATTTGCTTTCTTTTCAAGCCACTTTATCACATATTTAATGCCCTTTTCCTCCCTTCTTTTTCTTTTAGTGATACAAACGAGGTGGACATACCTCCCAACACCCGTGTAGGAACAAAACGCTATATGCCTCCTGAGGTGCTGGATGAAAGCTTGAATAGAAACCATTTTCAGTCGTACATCATGGCTGATATGTACAGTTTTGGGCTCATCCTTTGGGAAATAGCAAGGAGATGTGTTTCAGGAGGTAAAGAGCTGAAAGATCACTTTTAATTGTATCAGTGAACCCCATTTATGACCCAAATCTTCTTTTTCACTAGGTAGTTGTTTTTACTGTAATGAACAAAAGTGGATAAACCATACAGGTAACTCTCTTAGTATCTGTTCTCTTGTTGAAATTTATTTTAAAGCATCAGTCAGTGCTACTTCGACAGCAGAGATTTAGACTGTGTTTTAATGGCTCATTTGAAGGCAGCTGATGCCTGCACTGAAGGAATACAGAACTCATTTGGGGGCCTTTCCAATGGTAACACATTTTGCTGGACTGAGGGTATTCACTATTTTAGAAGAAAGAAAATAGTGATTTCTTTGTTTTGTTAAGAGTTAATTAGAAGGTAGAGGACAAACAATTTGGGGGGATGCTATGCCATTATTTAAAACAAATAAACTGTTTATAAGACAAAGAGAAATAAAAAAAAAGGAAGTGGCACTCATTACATTGTTGTCATATCAGTGATTTCATTCTGATATGAATCATTCAAGTGTGAGGACAGCAAAGATAAAGCAGTGCAGCCAGCTGCAGACTTAGGGCGTAGATCCATCCTTCTACACATAGGCTGTGTGTGCTTTCTGCATGTAGAGTTCAGTGTAGTGCAGAAATGATGGGTGTTATTACCTCTATTTTGCCACCAAGGAAAGCTAAATGCAGAGAAATGATTTGGCAGCGGTTATGGGCCACATTGGTGGCAAGTAAGAGGAGAGCATGACTCTCTCGGGTCTACACTACGCTCACCAGACTTTATGGGTCTTTAAAGCCCACAGTAGTGTGCTGAATGCTCACTCCATCATTACCCTAGAGAAGCTGAATTTCACTGATGAGCAAGAGATCCCTGTTTACAAACGGGTAAAGTGCCTTGCAATTATGTAACGTAAAATCTGTAATGTTGTTGTGTTTTTTGTTGCCAAGCTCTGAAAAGGCATAGAAGTGTCCTTTAACATACACCAGTTCCACTGGTAAAAGGAGACCTAATTCAAGATTATTTCACAGCCAGATTACTCTGATAGAGGCCCTATGTTAATAGCACTTCCTGTGATAATTTACTGAAGATCGCCGGATGGGACAGTAGTGGTAGAAACTGTCTCACTTGGCAAGTAATTGTGCTTTCAGGTTAGGATGTCTGCCCAGTCTTTACATGGCAATGGTTACATTGGAATTTGACTGTGAAATAAACTTCTAGGGCAGGGAAGTCCTTTTAAGAAGTACATCTAATTGTTAACCAGTATGACCAATCTGTTATAAAATGAGAGGGGAAGAGCATAGTGGAAGGTATCTTTTGCAAATGATGGGCAACTAATTACTTCTTTCAGGAATAGTTGAGGAATACCAGCTTCCATACCATGACCTTGTGCCCACCGACCCCTCGTATGAGGACATGCGGGAGATTGTGTGTATCAAGAGACTTCGCCCTTCGTTTCCCAACAGATGGAGCAGTGATGAGGTACTGTTGCTTTTAAAGTGCAGCCTCTGTTTTCAAGCAGAGCGAGTGAGTGAGGTTGACCCAATTCTGCATCATTTTGACTAAGGAGGAGCTTTACCACTGGTGCGAGCACCAGTCACAGTATAACATGGCTTGGGAAAGAGCATGAGCTTCTCTCAGATATCCCCACGGAAGGTTTCAGAACCCCAGGGGCCATAACCTACAATATTTGTAAGTGTGTTCCTCATGTGCTATTTACCATATCCCCCAGCAATAGCAGGCTATGCTCAGACCTTCTTGGACTCTTTGTTTTCCTCTTGCACTCATTTTGCTTTCTGCTTCCTGCATTAATAGCATTAAATCAGTGCCTAGCCAAAAAACTTGAAAGAGAAGCTGTTTTGTATTATATAGTACAATTGCAGCATACTTGGTGTATTGGCAGCTACTTCAGTGTATGCTGATATGTGGGCTTTGATTCCAACCTTTTTCCTTTTATAAGAAGGAAATATCTCCTCTCTCTTTGACATGAAATGAGCATACAGCTTTCTGTGATCACTGTGTGTGGTCTTGGAAACACAATTTTGCTATGATTTTATGCTAGCATGATTGCAAGATACTAGCAATAGTACAGCCACAGTAGCTGAGCTGCACTGATCGTTCACTCCTTTACATCTTACAGAAAACAATGCTCATGTCCCTCTTGGTATTTTAGCAGAGGGCTACAGGCTTTTCAGAGGAGACGTAGGATCCAGAAAATACTTTACAGAATAAAACAAGGAGGTGAGATGGCTGGGGAAGAAATCTGAGCTCTCCTGCTGAGCATCTGTAACGAAGCAAAGTTGTGCTCATGGGATTGGAGACGAACAGTTGAGTTACCACAGGCAAACCTGCTCTCAAGATACTATGGAGGAGGGCTCATTTATCATGTTAATTGGTACAGTTTAATGATGTAAAGTTTTCTACAGTCACAGAAGACTGGCTGCCATTTGGGAATAGCATTGTGTAGATGAATATTCTGCAGGTAGATGAAAGATTTAGGTGGCATGAGATATAGGCAGTTTGGGAACCAAGGGGGAAACCAAAACAACCTCCCTGGGATGGTTGAGGACTTGTGCAACTGGGCAGGAGCCATGGGTGTATGCTCACCAGGGGCTGGTCGCTGGCTGAGGAAAATGAATTCCACTGTGTTTGTACAGCAAAGGGCTCGCTCTACAGAGCCACGCTTGTGAAGGTCAGGCTGCACAGGTTTGGGGAAGGAGAAATAAGAAAAGTGCTCTTCTGGAGCATATATCCAAGTCTAGACTATAATTTGTCATACATTGTAAGAGGAATTGGCATGTTTAGAGAACTCTCCTTAATATACAGACAGCAAAAGCTCTTGAAAAGCAGTACCAGCTAGCATGTTGTCTGTTTTTTTGGCTGCCCTTAGAAAAGACCTTTTCCCTTCAGTTTTTGCATTGCTGCCAACTGCAGTCTGCTTTTCCACTGACCCAGGCGGGACTTTCTCTCCCGTTTCTCTCCTCAGTGCCTACGGCAGATGGGGAAGCTGATGATGGAGTGCTGGGCTCACAATCCTGCCTCCCGGCTGACAGCCCTGCGAGTCAAGAAGACACTTGCCAAAATGTCAGAGTCGCAGGACATTAAACTCTGACTTGGCCAGAGGCTGCTCTCATGAAGGCCCATGGAAAAGGACTTTCTCGTGCAGGCAGAAGAGCAATCAAAAGTCCTCAGTAATAAGTACCATCAATAAAGTCATGCTTAAGATCAGCTGTAAGTTTGTTTAACAGCTTTTAGAGAGACAATCCTTTGCAAAAAAAATCAGCTGAACTTTGACATAGAAGATCAGAAGAGGCTTGTCTGCCCTTGTTTACATGGGGAAATACAGTTTTAGTAACTGGTTTAAGATTATACATGTTGCTTTCTGTGAAAGCCACTTATTATTTTATTATTATTATTATTATTATTATTTTGATTGTTTAAAAAAGATACTGCTTTAAATTTTATGGAAATAAAACTTGGTTAGAAGTAAAAAAAAAAGATGTATATTACTACATTACAAAAAAAAAAAAGGAAGAAACTGCTGAAAATGAAAGCAAAGCAACTTTTTCATTTCTAAAGAGACTATTGCACTCCAGCTTTTAACAAAACAGGCAGGTGCGCCTTTGCAGCTCAGAGGAGCTGTAATGGGAATTGTCTTAGAAGTCCCCTACATGCAGAGATGACTTTCCATAGCCCTTCTTGTGTGAGTGGTTCTCACAGTATAGACATGAAGCCCGATTGCATTCCTGCCATGGTTAGAGCACAGGCAGCTGGGTTCCTATGGGTGGCTTGTCCCAGGGGAGATCATACTTCATTTGAGATAATCTGGAGCTGTATGAATATGTTTTGGTGTGACTTGTTTGAAGAAGCTCTTCATGTTTCCAGGCAATCTGATGAGTATGGTACTAGGATGAAAGCAAGTGCCCCTTTTCTTGGCTTTCTTTTTTCTATCTTTTGTTCCACTGCAAAATAAAATGCTTCGTGTGTGAGTGGAAATGAAGTACACATTTGGATCTGCTGGTGAGTTTGAAACTGCTGTCACGTACATACACAACCACTGGGTGAGAGGAAGTTCCTTGTGAGAAAAAATTACTAACTTGCTCTTTTGACTGTGTGAAAGTAAGGTATCCATCTATAACCACAGCTGGAAAGAAACATACGTGTTTCCTTTTTTAAGGGAAAGTGAAAACCCCCAAAATTGGGAATTTTGGGGTGGCAATCATTTTTCTTTAAGCAAGGATACCTGGTGCTTCCCGACTGCAGTAGGAAGTCCACAGGGAAGGAGTATGGGACTCGGGTGGGTGGTGAATGCTGGGCACTGTAGCCAACAGCAGGCAAGAACCTCCAGTGCTTCTCCCGCTGTAGGGAGAGGCACCACAAAATGAGCCATTTGCCTCAAGCTTCATTTATTTGCCTTACTTTTTCATGCGGCATCCCAGAATCCTCCCTACCTCTGGGAGGCAACACTAGGGCTGCATACCACATGGTTCCCAGCAAGACAAGCTTTTAGAGGAGAAGAGGAAAGGGAAACGTGTTGATGGTCTTTCCCTATTCCTCCTTTCTGGGGCTGCAGCAATTGCTGCGATGTTCATACCACAGAAGGGGAAATTAGAGGTGGAATATTCCCTGTGAAGTACTTTCTTTGGAAGGGCCCCTGTTCTTCATCAGATTATGAAAGCTGAGATGTACAGAGTTACCAGTTTACCCTTCTTTACCCTTGGTTTGGTTTTTAAAGTTTTTGCCTATGTCCTCTTTCACTAGATAATGTTCAGTTTAATCTTGAAATAAGTCCTTACAAAAATGCTGCTTTGATTATGCTAAGCCTGTTTCTGAATTGAAATAATTGCCATGCTGGATTTAGCCTCAGCATTTCTGTAATGCTTCCTTTTTTCCCATTTTGGACAAAACTGATTTATTTGTGGTAGGTAGGTATATAATTGGGGTTTAACTTCACAACTCCCTGAAGGTATTTCTAGCTGGAAAAATTTCCATTTTATAGTTTCAAGCTAACAGAAGAATGCACAGGTTCAAGAGACTCAGCAAGACCTCCATTATAGCTATTAAAAATTTTAATCAGGGATTTTTGTTAATTAGAGTGTTTTTTCCGCAGTGCAATTTTGCTTCCTGTACCCAAAAATACTGAGGAATACAAAAGAAAATCTCTGAGAGCTAATAGTACACCAAACCGTGGCTCTGAGGGGGCAATGCTGGTTTACCCTGTCCTTAAAAAGCAGTGTGCTTACTTGTCTGAGAGCAGAGTTTGCTCCTTTCCTTGCCTACCTTGGCTTGAAGATTGCAGCCCCAAATGAGAAGAGCCTAGCATCTCTTCACCTTTTTATCTTATTGAATTAAGCCACAGGGTTTCCACTCTCACTCCTTTCACTTTCATGCCCTTTCATAGTAACCAGCACAGCCCCAAGGAACTGGGTTTTTTCAGCTCTGACAAAGCAGATGGGACTTCGGTTGGAGGCAGGCTCAGTTGGCCCCACCTCTGTGCCTGGTCCCTGGAGGTCCTGGGTAAGTGGTTGTGCAGCAGAGATGCCTCTTCCCTTCTGCGTTTAGGTGTATTTCACGTCTGCTTTCCTCAAATACATTTTTATTATCATTATTATGGCTTTCCCCCAAACTGTTTTGGAGGGTGCTTTGCTGGCTGGTGGACACAGGGCACCTGCCATCAGTGTGTGTTGCGAGAGAAAGGAAGGGCCAGTTGCTGGTTTTCTGAACAAATCTTACCTTTTTTGGTCCAAAAGAAAGGGATCTAAGATACTGGTTGATAGGTTACATAAAGTATGTATGTTAAATGTTTGAGTTTTTGTGGTTTATATATATATACAAATATATATATATATTCAGTTGGGAGTCTGGAATAACTCCAGTGTGTGGATTAAGAGTAAACTATTACAGATGATAAAGCACTAAATAAAACATAGTATTTATTTATGAAAATGCATAAATGACAATTCACTGCAACGGTGCTGTATAGGAAAATAAAGAGAGCGATATATATGTGAGGAGACACACTCTGAGAAAGCAAAAGTTGTTTAACTAGTGCCTACCCATTTTCTCCCAGGACTTGAAAGGCCAGATTTTACCCTCAAGTCTACCCACCTGTAATCAGTGCTATTGTAAAGGGATATTCCTATGGCCAGAAAACAGCCTAAGGCAAGCATAAAAGTCATTCTAGCACTGTAACATTCAAGTTACCAGCTGCATGGTTGACTTTCTGCAACACTTACTGAGTATATTGTGGTTTTAGCAAGTACAGTGACTACAGGTTAGTACATTTATTTTGCCAGGTTTGGCCTTTTAATGTCACTTCCAGATTTTGGTAGTTTCACAGTTCACATTGATGAAGGCTTGGAAGTCAGTGGTGCCCACAAGTCCGGAAATCCAGCTTTGAAATGTAAATCACTGAAGGAAGTTTAGTTTAGTGACTTATTGATACAAATAAGATGGCAGAGGTAAGTGGGAGAAGAGGAAAAACAGACTCACCAGAAAAAAAGGAAGAGAGCTGCCATCTAACAACTGCTATCCTTTCTCTAGCACAAAGTTATTTCTGTTAAAGAAAAGGTTGACAATGTAAAGACTAAAAAACTAATTTGTGTTCTTTTTTGAGAACCAGTGCCTTATTAAAGCTGTAAATACTGTAATTAGAAAACCTGGGGAACAAACTGTGTTACATTCTATTTGTTCAAACTATATGTATATGGTTGGTTTAACATTCCCCCCAAATAAAATTGTTTCCATGTCGCCATGAAAGAGGTTGGTTTTACTTCTGTTTACTTCTCATGTGCTTGAAAAGCACCACCTTTGGGTTCAGTTTCCCTGGCTAGATTGTTTTGACCATGTATCCTGGGTTCAGCAGTAGCAGTCATTTTTCTCCTTCTTGGTAGCTGGTACAGTGCTGTGTTTTGACTTTCGGCTCGGGAACAGAGCTGATAACACCGATGTTTTGGTTTGGCCAAGGACTTTGTGAGCCTCATGCTCTGCCAGGGAGGAGGGGAAGCCAGGAGGAAGCAGAGACAGGACACCTGACCCAAACTGGCCAAAGAGGAATCCCTACCACAGCACGTTCATGCCCAGGATGTAACTGAGAGTTACATGGAAGGGCTGGTGCACTGCGGAATTGGAGGAGGTATCGGATGGAGCTTGGTCAGGCTGGGGGGGGCGAGTTATCGGTCAGCTGGTGCTGAGGTGTTGTATTCTCTTCCCTTGTTATTTCCTTTATCATTGTTATTATTGGTGGTAGCAGCAGTGATTTGTGTTATACCTTAGTCACTAAACTGTTTTTATCTCAACCTGTGGGAGTTGCATTCTTTTCAATGCTCGTCTCCGTCCCTCCGGGAGTAGGGGGAGGGCAAGAAGTGGGGGGAGCGAGTGAACGAGCTGCCTGACTGGTTTTAAACCACGACACCATGCCTCATTTTATGTATTTATTTTAAATACGATTTTCCATGTGAGCAAATAAATAAACCAGCAAGATGTTGCATATGTTTTCACTGGCATATAAAAGCATCACCCATTTTCACAACTCAGTGAAGAGAGAAATAGTAATTAAAATAGTGTTATTGCTAATGGAGCAGTCACTCACATTTTGTGGCTGATTATGTAAATCTATAGAAATTTAGCATTTGCATAATATTTTTGTGAGGCCCTCTCTTCCTTTCTTTCCCCCACATATTTATGAATCGTGACTATTTTTAACGGCACAAGAGGTTATGTGTGCACGAAGCTGTATTTTCTAGCCATGTGCTTCAGGGGGAAAAAAGTTGCAGCCTACATACATTGTCTCAGCTGAAATGTGGTGCTGCTTAATACTGAGAGATGTTGGAGCATATGCATCTTGACATATAGGGAGATATTTGTGTGTATTTGTATGTACAGCCTGAGCTCTCCTCTCATTCTGCACTGCTGTGTTGCAGCTCAGTGTTTCCTAACATGTAATCACCTTACCAGTTACATCCAGAGTAAATGTGTAAACAGCATTCTTCCCTTGAGCATCATCCTAGTGCTAATACAGACCCTGCAGCCCTCCTGCTTTGCCCCAGGCCACCTGTCATCATCAGCAGAGCTTTGCAGTTATTCTTCTGCAGCATTTCCACAGTCTCTCGGCCAGGCCACATCTACATGGGAAAGTCCCATGCTTGTTGCACATTATCCCTGACATGTCCCTGTATCCTGTAGTTTTGGGCTGCTTCTGCCCCTCCTTGGCTGCACAGTGCTGAAGGTGATGTGGTGCTCCAACACAGCCCGTCTGGGCTGCCCCTTCTCTAGCATGCTGCTGAGATAGGTGTTTCTGTAGCTGCCCTCTGTTTCTCCTATCCTGCTAGCTTTTCCCGCTAACTTTCTAGATAGGGCTTTCTGGGGCAGTCTTAGGCTCTCTTCTTGTTTTCTTCCCTCTCCACCTTGCTAGGTGCAAGACTAAAATTTAGCCTTGGGCTCAGCTACCTGTATTTTCTGCAGTTGCAGGCGACATTAGGATTGTTTTGCTTCCATATAAGTTCGGCAGAGTCATGCTACTTACTGTCCTGTGCCAAAGCCAGAGCTCTGCTTCCCTGTGAAGCATGCCAAACAGTACCTTTCCCTGCTTAGGAAGGAGAGCTGCAGTCCCACCTTCAGAGCAGACAGTTCCAGGAGTCTCAAAACAGCTAGAGGTGAGGTACATGAAGGAAAAGTCCTTGAAGACAGCAAGTCCGGATGAGGACCATGAAAATGATCAGAGGGCTGGAGTACCTCTCTGTGAAGACGGGCTGAGAGACCTGGGCTTTTTCAGCCTGCAAAAGAGAAGGCTCTGGAGAGACCTTAGAGCAGCTTCCAGTGCCTAAAGGGGGCCTGCAAGGAAGCTGAAGAGGGGCTTTTTACAAGGGCATGTAGTGACAGGACAAGGGGGAATGGCTTCAAACTGAAAGAAAGAGGGTAGGTTTAAGTTAGATATAGGGAAGAAGCTACTGTGGTGAGGCACTGGCACACATTGCCCAGAGAAACTATGGATGCCTCATCCCTGGAAATGTTCAAGGCCATGATGGGGGTTTGAGCAACCTGGTCTAGTGAGTGGAAGGCAGGAACTAGATGATTTTTAAGGTTCCTTCCAATCCAAACCATTCTGATTCCATGATAGGAGGGAATGGCTTGGCCAGTACAAGGCTGCAGGCTATAGCTAACGCAACCCACGGGGCTATCAGAAACAAAAGGAAAACTTTTGTCAATACATGTAGTTTGGCAATACATGTAGACAGGGTGAAAATAGTGTGAAGGACAGAAAGAGCTTGTCTCCTGTGAAAGCTAAGTATGCAAAGAGAAAGGCAGCCAGACACCGGGAATCTAAAAGCAGTGACTTGTGTCCAAAGTGAGCATCTTAATTTTGCAGAAACTAGTCCTGCCTGCAGCTCAGCTCTCTTTAACAGTGGCATTATGGTGGCCAAAGTTACCATTGAAGAAGTTATGATGCCATGTGTCCCCTGGGATACAGCTTTTCTCTTCATGTCAAAGCCCCAAGTCCTCTTCATATATAATCTACCTCTTCTTGTTATAGAGAAGATGATAACAGTGACATCTGAAAAAAATGAATAGTTCTCCCTTCATGTTGCCAAAGGTGCAGTGGCTTTTGCATAGAGTAAACCTGCCACTGGTGCTTGGCTGTAGCTCTGTGCCATACTCAGCGTATTTGATTAAGCCCAGTATTCCATCTGGTCTCAGAGCATCAGGTATTGGCTCAGTTAGCTGCCAGTCCTGCCAGACCCAGTTCCATTCCCATAGCTGCAAGGGGACAGCCACATGAGCTGGTGCCGCAGGGCCACCCATGCCTGCCCTCTTGCAAAGAATCTTTTGAGCAGAGTTTTAAAGAACTTAAATAAAAGGCTTCTCTTTCCTCCACAGCTTCCAGGAACTAAACAATTGAACACAAGGCAGTGGTGTATTTTTTTTTTCAGTTGCTTATAAATATAATTTATTACCTGTTTAAAAATTCTTTCTTACACTTTGTACATGTCAGGCTGACAGAATAAATGCAGGCATTTACAAACAGAGGGAAAGAGAAAAAGGGGGGGGGGGAGGGTAAGAGGCACACTCAGAACTAGTAAACCACACCTCCACTATACAGCAATACAAATAATGCAATGGCTAGCACTTCTCTGGTAGTAAGTCAGTTGTTAGAAAAGGAATTGCATAGAAGATACAGCAACAGGGAAATCGAAATCAAAACAGTTCTCCAGATCTGAATAGCAAAGAAAACAAATCCCATGAACCCTGGTATAGCTGAGACATGGGAAGCAGAGGGAGAAATGCAATACACCCTCCTTCTTGGCCCAGGCTGCACAGACATTTCATTTCCTATAGGCCCTCCTTCTTTGCTTTGGAAAGGTACCAAAGGTACCATCTTACATTTTTATTATTATTATTATTATTCAACATTTACAGACAAAAAATGTGTTAGCAAAAAAGTCTACCACACAGATGTGCCAAAACGGTAATGCCATAACTTCTCTGTCTTGGCTGTGTCACGCATCCTGTTTCAAGGTAGGTTATTGGCTCATGGCTCAGGGGTGTATTTGCAAGGTGCCTTACAAGATGTATGGGAGATGAGTGTTTTGCTGCGTATTCTGCCTAGTTTTGTTTACTTTCCAGACTGATTTTGCTTTCTATTCATGTTGTTTGAGCTCCCAAATTTACTTGCAATCCATAGCAAGAGCCAGCTGGCAGCAGCCGAAGAGGATCTTTGGGCCACACAAGCTTTTCTCATCTAGGGCTATTGTCCCACCAGCTGCAACTGGCAGCTGGAGGCCAGAGTGCCAGTACTCAGAGACCCACCTCACCACTGAGGGATGGCCCTGCCTGATTACATCCCACTTCTTCACAGGCATCCAGAAGTTACTCGCATGCCACAGCATGGGATGCTTTGGGAGAAAAGGCCAGGCCCAGGGTACAGCAAACATAGCAATTAATCTCTTTGTAAGCAGTCAAGGAGACTGAGCCACTATTAAATACATTTAACCAACATCACAGAAAATGTGAAATACCTATTTGGTGATAGAGTCTTGTGGGAACTCTGGATTATTGCTGCTTTTTTGTGCAGGCAGAGCTTATCAAAGGATTTTCAGATAAAGGGATTTTCAGATTTCAGGGAGCAGGTGTCAAGCTTAAAGGACAAGTAAGTAAATAAACTAAATGCGGCTATTTCAATTGAGGAGCTTGACCTATCAAACTTGAGAGTTTATTTCTGTGGCTTTGGTTCAAGTCCAGTTCTAGTGCCTTGCCAGGTTTTATTCTGTTGGCTCTTGCAGTACTGCTTATTTGACCTTGCAGTGATGATACAGCACTGAATTTTGACCTTCACCTTCACAAGCAGAAATTGGTCATAAGAGGATGCCCACAACTAACATCAGAGTTAAAAGCATCCTGTGGTAGGTGTCCTTTGTTTTCGTCTCTGTATGCATGTATACACACACACACACCACATTTCTGTTAAATTCCCACATCAAAGGATGTCTGAGATGATACATGCTTCAGCATTTAAAATTCTGCAGTGCAGCTCATTTTATGAACTTAAGCTACTCATATACAAGCTAGGAATGGACTGTGGTGATGACCCCAAAGTCAAACCTCATTGGAATCCCTGTGGGAGAAGGGCCAAAAGTTTGGTTTCCATTCACAAACTAGTCACATCTTTGCACTGCCTGCCATTAAGTAAGCCAGCCTGCAAACAGTTACTTCGTGGACAGAGTAATACCTGAAAAGACTTCTGAACACTCATTAAGATAGTTTACAAAGTGCCCTGGACATGAGATTAAAAGAGAAACAAACAAGAACACCTCACCAGTATAATCTTGTTTAGAAGTAACCTCAGAGCTCTGGTAACTAACTACTTGGCTAGAGCATTCAATGGCCTAAGGACATCCCCTCCACCCCGCCCTTTCCCCATACCCCCACACCCCGAAACAAGAAGGAGAAGCAAGAAGAAACTACTGTAGGTAGCAATAGAAGACATTAGGACACTGTCCACAATGAGGGGCTTACAGCATGTAAACACATTTATTCTATATGTAAGCAACAGAAAGAGTGAGAAACCCAAGGAACAGAGATGTTTTGCTCCATGGGCATCCCAGACTCCAGTATGTCTCATGACTGTCTGCATTTCTGCCAGCAGTACAGGGAAAAAAAAAAGATTCTTGGTCTCCCATGGAACGAATCCTGACTGAAGAGACCCTCACTGCCTCAAAACTTCTGAGATTCAGTAAAGCAGCACTTAGGTCTTGCACTGTTTAGTGAGATAGATATAGTGGATCAGCTGTGATCAGAAAACTCTCAAAAATCCCAGCCAAACCCCAAACTTACCCTATACACAGACAGCCACCTTTACAAGAACACAACACAAGAGGAACTGAAGAAAAAGTCAGGTGTAAAGGACTGCTTCCAACACTGTTTCTTACTTGGAAAGAAAAGGTTTTCCTTGAAGTCAGTAGATATGTTATATATATTTATATAATATATATATTATTTATAGCGCTAGCAACCAACATGTAATGAAGAGATGGTGTGAAGAGCAGCAACACTGCTACAATACATAGCTGAAGGTGGACAACTAAGAAGATAACCATTAAAAAAAAAGTAATAAATGGAGGATAAGAAGCTTGCAGCCATTTTTTTTCTTTTAAAGCAGATGTGCTTCCCTGACATAAAATGTTACAATAAGCTGTAAGAATTGGTTCTGTCTGCCAGACTTATTTGCCCTGTTAAAGAGCCACCACATGGGAGAAAACCTTTCCCCAAGCGATGTTGCTTACTGTGGCATGCTGGAGCTGGAGCACAGCCCCACGAGATGGCACTGTGTCCACGCAATGGTTTTTCTCCCACCAAAAGTAATCGGAAAGACCTGATCTGGCTGCCCTTGCATCTTTGCTTCCCACCCTCCCTCCTTGGGGCAGCAGGATGGGGATGCTGAGGGATGCATGCCACCAGCCTATGCCAGAGCCATCTCCCCAGGCACATACCCTGCCAGGGAAAAAAAAGGGAATTAGAAAACCCTGAGCAAAATAAATGCAGAGGGAGCATCAGGTGAGGTGGGAGCTGCTGTTAGCAGCAGTGGCAAAGCAAAAGTGTGGAGCTGCTGGGACAACGTGTGGTGGTGACTCTGTGGTGGAAGCTTGCCCACCCCTGGCAGCCTCTGCTCCCTGTCAGGGCTGAGGCAGCTGGCACAGTGCTGTGCTGGGACCCTATAAAGGCTGATGGAGGAAAAGCTGGAGAAACCGTTCAGCACCTAAGTAGGGAAGGGAAGGGAAGGTTTCTGAACACTTGGGATGGAAGAAGAGCAGCTGCATTTCCCAGCAGTAACACTGCTGCCAGCAGTGATGTTTTTGATCTCCATCCACGTCCATGAATGCTCCTCATAATCAGAGCATGTCTTTTCCTCTCAGTAAATCCCCTTTACAGTGACACTGCAAAAGGAAAATACTCCAGAATACTTTAAGGCTGTTGCTCGTCTGTTTTTTCTTGGATGAGGCATGGGGAGTGGGTCAGAGAGCTGGCAAAAAGATCATCAACTGATAGCGGTAACTATGAGACACTTTCCAGCAAGGCCCCAATGAGAAGGCTTCACACACTGCCCACCAAGCAAAAACTGAGAGCTGGGAGTACCAGCGAGCTTGGGCATCAGCTAACAAAGACTGAGCTGGAGAGGATAAGGGACAGAAGGACAGTTTGGCTCATGCATCTACCTTGGAAAAAGAGCCACACGGGAAGGATGCATGGGAAGGGTAAAGAAGTACAAACTAAATACAACCGTGGTTACACCTGAAGATGCCACAGGAGGGAGAAAAGCTGAGATCTATCTTTTAAGGGTTGTTTTAGAGCTCCAAGGTAAGTCAGAAATGTAAGAAAAGGGCAGAGCTGGAAGCCCCAAGGCTTCCTGAAGCTGAATGCAAGATTTTTGTTAAATGCCACAGATTTCCATTAGCATTGCAATGGGCTGCATCAGATGCCTAAGGTGAAAAAGATGATTGTTGTTGAAAGGATGCCCATGGCATCTCCACATTAAAAGAAGGTGGGCTTACACAGGCAAAATGCAGACATATGTTGAAAGTTAAAATGTATGTCCTCCGGACTGAGATGCTGGTTTGCAATCTGCTGGATTACCTTTTAGAGGGAAGGGAGAGCTTTATGATTGCTGCCCAATGGTCAATCAAAACCCCGCTGGTGTCAGGGAGCTGTGAAATTAAAAGGTCCTAAGCCTGTGAAATGTCAAATGGGAGAAAGGGCAGATGGAATTTTCCTTTCATTTTGACCGATGACATTTTCAAAGTTACCTTTAAAGGCGCAATCTGGAAAGCCTTGGGGAAAAACAAAACCAAAACCATGAAAGAAAACAAGCCATCTCCAGTCTTGGGAAGCACACAGAGTGGGACCACATGCACATGTGCACAATATGCACAGGGCCTGGCTGGAAACCTGGAAATGACAGGCTGGGGAAGAAAGCCTTTTTGCACCAGGAGAGGACAGACAACCTGGCAGTAAAACTACTGCAGTCCTACGCACTGTCATGTACCAAAGAACCAGTCTTTTCACTGAGCAGAAAACAAAATACATGTGCAGTGACAACTGAACAGGCAAATTTGGCTCCCTTTGCCAAGTTCCCACTTCAGCTGCTTGTGGTGGACAAGAGGGACATGGCTGCATCTCACCCAGAAAAGACCCAGCAGAGGACTCCCAGTTAGCCTGGACCACCATAAACATTATGGGATCTGGTGTGTTTCTGTACAGTGAGTATCTGCAGCTCTGTGGGAGCTGCTGGCTCTCAGATCGCTTCAAAGCAAAGCAAGACATATGGAGACCCACACTGAATGCACAAATCAGCGTCAGTGCCTCCATGTGCTTACACCTGTGTCCCTGATCCAGTGGTCTAAGTGTATTTGGATTGGGAGGCTGTCACTGGTTCACAGCCACCTTGGGACAGGATTGCTTCTTAGAGCAACCTGGAGGCACCAAAGTGGTGCTAAACATCACAGGGAGGGGTGCTGGGTTGTATCCTCTATGGGTGCAGATCAGTGACTATAGCAGAGTGTCACCAGTTTATACCACCTTTGCAACGGGCATGAAGCACAGAAATGCTAACATGATGTGAGCAACCAGTGTAGGCTAGTAGAGGACTTCGGAGGAAGAAAATGGTGGCTGGAGAAGGGAAAGACAGATGTCTTGCAAGATGTTCAGGAAGGGGACAACAGGTGCCATAAAAACTGGAATGGTTCATTCTGCTGCTGACAAAATTAGAAATAAAGTAATAATGGTAACAATAATAATATTAATAATAATAATTATAATCCTTGTACTAGATACTAATTAGTAAATAATTATCATAGCAACTTCTCTTTTTTCTTTCTTTTCTGGGTTTCTTTCCCCCCTGCTAACCACTCTGCATTGCATATCAAACCCCCTCATATTGCACAGGGGTGCAAAAAGGTGTTGTTATGTTGCGAAATGAAAACTGACTCCAAACCTTACGTTCCCTGCTGTCCTATAGCTATTATTCTCCACTCAGCCTCAGTGAGACTGCCTCAGGGAAGGAATAGGACTTTACGTGTGTTCCTGCTTAGCACCCAGAGTACCTGCTTTCTAGATGCACCTTTTAACTCTGGTTTTCTGGTTTGCTATTTTTTTACAAGTAGGTCTAGGAAACAGAACAGTGACAGGAGGATCATTGTGAGACAATTAATGTGCAGAATTGTAGCCAAAATCTGAATTCACCAGAAACCAATAAGCTGAAATAGCCACAACCAACTGTCCATAGCCTTGTCTAGAATGGCTTTAAACAAAAAATATAAAGAGCCATGGACAGTCTCCTTACCCCTGTCCAGAATTTGATGTAAACAACATCCATAGAAACTGAGATTGTTAAGAAAGTTTATCCATACATCTGGATAGCAATAAAAAGCGTTTCCTAGGAAACTGTAAAATCCTGTACCAAGCAGCGTACAGCCAAGCCGAGAGGAACATTAGTTGATTTATATTTTCAAGGTACAACTTCACATGATTTCTTTTAGATCCTGTGATAATGTACAAGGAGAGCATGTGTGAAGGTCAGGGCTGGTTTTTTTTCTGTTTGTTTGCTTGCTTGCTTTCTTCTCTGCAGTGCTTCTTGTGTAACTCATTGGTCTGGGTTTTCATTTCAATTCTCGTTTGCAATAACAGGGCATTACCGCTCCCTGCGTCTGTCCTTCCTGTCCACGCCAAGGCTGCATCAGTAATTTCCTTCTGCTGCCAAAGAAACAACGGTTTCGTGTCTTCCCATTTCTTCAAGAACCGCTGCCAGCATGCTCAGGTTGCCATCAGGGAAATTCTGGGCTTCCCAGAGATCCAGTATCACCCCAGTGGGACTTGATTTTGTAGCAAAATAATTTAGGTACCTGCAACAAGCCAAAAGGAAATATGTTTTTCCAGGTGCATGAAGGATATCTGAGTTCGTATGGCAGTGTTCAAGGCCAGGCTGGACAGAGCTTTGGGCACCATGGTCTAGTGTGAGACATCCCTGCCCATGGCAGGGGAGTTGGAACTAGATGATCTTAAGGTCCTTTCCAACCCTAACTATATGATGATGATTTCAACGCATCCCTGTTGCCAGTGCTGTCAAGGTCCTCACCTCATGTGCTGTCATCCTGTACTCCTGCTTTCACTCACCTCAGCAGGATTTTCACAAGGACTGGATTGCACATCCCTCCCTGGGGGCTTCACCACCCGATCCACATAGACAGCCCCACTCACCTGTCCAGTTTCAGCTTGTGGGCCAGCATCCGCCAGTCATGGCCCCTCGTCTGGGGAGCATCCAGGCTGCTGCACAGCTTCTGCCTGATTGGGAGGGGGATGCTGAAAGCGCTGGGCCCTACTATGGTGGTGATGGTGCTTGCTGAGTCCATGGGAGGATAATCGATGCCAGTAGGTTCCTGACATTGGAAAGAAAGACAAAAATCAACAACAGTTTTGCTACTGAGTGAAGAGATCACTATAGATTATACCCTCAGAGCCTCAGTTCTTTCACTTGTATTAGCATTTATGTTAGTCAGCTGAAAAGGAGAAAGAATTATAACCAACTTTGAGCAGACAGCAGATTTTTTTTTCTCCTTTTTTGTTTTGAGGGTGAAGATTACTATGGCTGGACAAAATTTAGTCCAGCTTAATTAATCACTTACTGGAAATAACGAAAGATCAGTACTTTGACACATTTTAGAGCAAATTGCTACTACTGGGGCAGGACTGGGCTCTCCTGGCTTGGCTGGCAAAGGCACCTTCCTGGAAGTCCCCAAGCCCCCTACTCCACACTGACCCAGTAATGGGCTCACACCACTGACATCTGTCTGGGAGCACCCAGTCTCCCGGAAGCCTCTGATGCTGGGCAAGCCAGAGACAGTCAGTTAATACTGCCCCAGGCACAAGCTGATCCCTCATTTTTACATGGCTCTAACTCTGTGCTGGAGATAGATAACTGGAATGTGTGTGCTCATACTCTTTTATACACACCAATTAATCCTCTTCCCCTTTTTAAGTACATCTTTTTTCCTTTTTTTTTTTTTTTCCCAAGAAATGACGTTTATGGAAGGTTTATGCCATGCTGTAATGTCCTCAGTTAACAATGTCCAAAGCAGTGCTGAATACTATATCCCTACTTGGGTGCCAAGGGCCTGCATCGCAGACCAGCCACCCCAAACCCACCGCTTCAGTCAATGAGCTACTGTTCTCTAACTGCCTGGCAATGGGGGTGGCCCAGGAGCTGGCAAAATGACTTGTATGCCAGCACTGCTGCCTGTGGGCTCACCCATGCTGCTAGGTCAGAAGTGGCTGTAGGGTGGTGACTGATAGCATCACAGATCGACAACCTTCCCTTCTTATTTTAGGCCAAGGGATGCAAGTAACACATTGAAGCAGCACTGCCCTGGTTCTCGAGGTGGCCTGCTGCCCCAGGTGCATCAGGATTGCTGCAGAAAGAGCCCAGGTATTTGTGGTGATGCCCTGTGGCGATTCACCCTTTTGGGTGAATACTGACAGCATGAGATAAAAAGGGGATTTCAAAAACAAGTGGTGGGAGAGATCTAATGCAGTCTTCCTCTTGCCTTGCAAATATGCGTGTTTTGGCACTCACTGCATTTGTAATTTTGAAGTCCCAGTGGAAGACACTGTATAAAGCCAGAATAAGACAGTTGAATCTGCAGAAGTTTTACATCCTTTAAAGGGGACAAAAGAGAAAGCCCATAAAGGGAGGATGCAGGAAACTAGTAACTGTGTTACTGTATGTTTACCATAGGGTGACAGAGGCAAAGAGGTAGATTCAGCAATGAAGAAAGGTGCCAGTATGGTCCTGCAATGCCTAACCACTAGCTGGACACCACAGCCTACCCACAGAAGAAAATGTGAGGAAGCACAGCTAAGGTTTCCTGATGTCTGATCTGGTGCCTTTTTCACACTTCTACAGGCATACACAACAGTTTCCAGATTGCTGTTATTACACTTTGTACTGAATTTGTCATCAAATTGTCTGAATTTTAGAGTTTTTTTCTAGTTTACACAGCCCTATATGCCAGCCCTTAGCAGCCCAAGGTCCTCCTGCCCCTTGTTGGGGCTCAGGAACATCACAAGATGTCAACCACAAGGAGCAATTTTGCAGGAGGCAGCCTTGATAACAGTGATATTATTCACTCCCTCTATTCAATCCTGATGGATGGGATCACAGCACAAGACAAGAATATTATCCAGTTCCCTCTGAATCTATTACCAGGCCCTATTACACACAACCAGCTGAAGATGATTATAGTGTACACTTGCATTTCATTAAAGTTACTCTCAGTTCTTTTCTCTGCGAGGTTAAATTAGAGATTACTTCAATGCAGCACTTATTACAATAATTGTTTATGATACTTTGTTTTACCATCTGTCTTTAATGCTGTGTAGTCCCCAGCTGAATCTGCAACCTTATACCCACTAACCAAGCAGATGTTATGGGTAATATTGTACACTATCAGGGCCCTACAGTACAAGTAACTTTCATCAGTGGTCTCCCGGCCCTTCCCCAAGTCAGCCAGCAGCAATTGCTGCCCAAGAGCCTGCTTTCACAGCTGCTAAGGGAAGCTAAGGCATAAAACCCACCAGCACATTAACTGAAGTCAGTGCCACGTCACACCTGAACATGTTGCTTGGTCTCAGCCCTAAGCTTGACTGCCCCAAGAAATGAAGGTTCTCTAGATGCTACATAGCATTGGCAAAAATGTTCCCAAACTTACGTTTTCCTACTAGAGAATGTCAGCCATCAAAAGAAAAAGTGTCAAAGATAACTGTCAGGATATGTAGCAGTAGCAAAATATGAGTAGAAAAGTCTATTGCAACTAGACCATCTGATACTCCCTATTGCACAGCTGTTACTATGTGGGATGAGAGGGGAGTGGCTCATGCAAGCATATGGTAATGACATTTTTCTATTCTTTCGCCCCCTTCAAGGAAATGTCAGGCATGATGGTCTTGTAGCCTGCCAGGAAAGAGGGCCATGTGGTGCTTTGCAAGATGCATCAGGGAACGGTAGGCAAAGAGCTCCTTCTCATAAACACAGAAAGGTGGCAGTAGCATGGAGATCATAGCTGCCGTCCTCCCTCCCTTGAAGGGAGGATGCTCCCTTCCAGATTAGAGAAACTAAGGGAAAATGCAACAGAAGATAAAAAAGCAACAACATAATCCATCCCTTATATCCATCCCAGCAGTCAGGAGGAAAAAGGGAAGCACTAAAGAGGTAGCAGTGGGAAAGGATATACTTCCTTAGTCCTCCCATGTTCCTGCAATCAGATAAATGCATCAGTGTAATTTACCTCTGAGACAGAGCAGTTGAGCTGGAAGATCTGCCCTTCTCCTTCGACCTGCCGGACACAGAGTTTGCACACCAGCTCCAGGGTATTCAGGCTGAACCTTTCCAGTGTGAAGGTGCAGTGCAGGTTCCTCTGGCATCCACTCCAGATGTGGTAAAAGGGAATTTCCTGAAAGATGAAAGCAAAAAAAGTATAGTCAGGGGGTGGTGTGGGACCAGAGTGGGGATGCAACAGGACTAGAGACTGTGGGCTCCATGATACTGTCACTGAAAATAGTCCAGGTTAAAAAAAGTCCACAGGACTGTAACCTGGCATCTGGTGTTTTTTAAACACCCCTTTGTGCCACTCTATTTCTTTAAGCCCCATTGCTAGTATCCAGTGTGAATGGTTTGTGATGCTCACCTGGTATTTAGCTGGCAGTTTGCTCTTCCAGAGAGAGTGGGCAATGTCGTGAATGGACAGGCGGAGGTTGTGGGTGCTTCCCTTAAAATACAAAGTTTTGGGCTCCTCCAAAAGCTGCCCGCCCATCTGCTGCTCAAGCTGGAGGACCTCCTGCAGTATTGTGATAAAAGGAAGAAGGTGATCAGGTGTCATCAAGACAGAACACTTCTGATTTTGAATCTTTTGATCCCTTGAGATCAACTGCTACAGATGTTGTAACTTGTGTAATACAGAAACAAATAATGCACAGGCATTGCACAGGATTCTGTTTCCCCATGAACTGCATTAGTGGGTCTAAGTATAATTTCAATACAGAAATATATTAGTCTTCATTGATCACCAAATTGGACATGTTATGGTAACATTACTGTTTTGGTTTTGGAAGCTTTTATTTGTGTAGGTCTTGTTGATAAGGGGCCCACACATACTGTTGGTCCTTCAGCTTGTGGCCTCCTGGAAAACTGCTCTATGACAGAGTGATAGAGGAGGTAACAGATGCTTATGCTCAGACTCAATTGTCAAGCAGGATGGTGTCAAAACAATGCAAGACACTGTGATGGAGCATTTTGTACATAGGAATACATAGGTTCACAGTTATGAAATACTGTTCTTTTAATTAAAAGCCAGTAAGCCAAGAGCCTGGTCTTTTTCTGCAGCTAAAAATAAATACATGCCTGTAACTAATGAGACCACAGTGGACTGTTACCTACAGGATAATTGTAGTCCACGTGGAAGAAACAAGTGCAAAGGCACCTGTGTGAGTCCCATTAGAAACTAACACAGCCATTCTCAGTCATATTTAATTGTAAAAGCTAACCAACCAGTCTCACGTGGCCAAAGCCAATCGCGCACAGAATAAGCATGCTCAAGTATGCGGGCACTCAAAACCAGGATGCTACACCAGGCCAACTAAGGAGCCTTCGTTTTAGCCCAATATAAAGTAGACTACTCTTGATCACATTCAGGATCTAGTTAGCACACAAAAAATGGTCCAACCCAGCACCTGGCAGATCCTGAAGCTAAAATGATGTTTGTTTATCAACCATTAGAGGAAAAGAGACAAAATCAGAAAACCTTTTAGATTAAGGTTATGCCAATGAATCAGTTCCAGCTTCTTTCCAGTGCTCCCTAATTACCTGTCAAGATGTCTAAAGAGCAATCGATAGTAATTATCTGATTACTATAGATCTTCATTATGTCCAAATTACCTCCCTGGAAGGGCCAGAAGACTCACATCACTGCATGAGCTAATTGCAGATGCCACCTCTCAGGCACACAGGGCACAGGGGCCAAACTGCTTCTGCCCATGCAATGCCAGCTCTGGGTGCTGCTCTGCTGTGAGGAAAAACATTGCAGAGTGATGTTGCATCATCCCACCCACCAGATTTGGGGGCCTAGTTTCAATATCCCACTTTCAGGAACCACCCTTGGTCACTGTAGCCCCTCTACATGCTCCAACTGGAGAATGCTGAGCAGCCAGTACTTCTCCCATGCCATTCAGCTAATTAATTCAGAATTAATTTGGAGCCATGATTTCCACAACCCTTCAAACCTGCGGGCTGGCCCTAGCTATACAGCATTTTATTTAGAGCAGTGTTTATCCGGCTGGCTGGTGCCTCTGTACCCTCCTCAGCCAAAACCTGAGCTGCATGTTGCTTGCCCAGGGCTGTGGTGCCTCTGACCACCCTTCCCATCATCTCTCACCACTCCTGTGAGCTGGGACTTACACTCTTAACACCCTTCCTAGGAGAAGAAGCTGTGTAAGGCATTGCTCCAACATCAGCATCACCAGGGCAGATACTACCTGTATTTGGAAAGGGCTTCTTCATTAATGTGGCACAAGCAAGCAATGGTGTTCAGTCTAAGCTGTTGCCTTTCTTCATTAGAGAGAAAAATACTCATTAAATAACCAAGAGAAGATCACATGCCTCTTGTGCCTTTTTTGGTGTGTTTGTTGAGGACACTTATTGTGCAGCATGAAGCAGGTTGGGGCACTCCACCCTGCTATAGCCTGAAATCATTTGTTCCTGGTGTCAGAGGCACCATTTCTATGTGCCCAGCCGCTCAGCACTCACCACACTGCCACGCATGGGTGGCATACCTCAATCTCAAAGCCATACATGAATAAACAGAATAAAGCAGCTAGATTTCTTAACAGTTACCATATTATTAGGGTTTTTTAGTTTTGTTTGTTTTTTTTTTCTCAGCAGACTAGCTTGGGCATCCCCCTTGAAATGCAAAACTCAGTCTTAAAAGAAAGAGGCCAGCGCTCAAAGTCACAGCTACCCTCAACCTTCCCCCAAAAGCATTTTTGTGAGCATCCCATCCAGGTGGCTCAGGACCCTGTAGGGCAGAGGATGACACACACATGATCAGCACTGAACTCACTCTGCTTCACAGCCTCAGGAACCCTGCCAAGCCATTCCCACAATAACCGAGCCCTTATTGATGACAAAGTCATTACACTTCCCTACTGTATGTACTGTGGGTGCTGTCAGTTCAGCAGCAAGCACTTGCGCTGCATGATGAGAGGGAAAAGCCTGCTGGATAAATACAGCACTGTGCCTTATACAGCAAATGCTTGTCTTCCTTTAGTGGCTGTTAGGATACATTCAGCATATGGCACACTCATTCCAAGTTGTAAATAATAACAGAATGCGTTTAGTTGCCTATTAAAATAAACACATAATCCCCTACAAAGGCTCTTCCAAACCTCAGACATCCCATCATGGTAACATTTCACACTGCTCTTCCCTCTTCTTGCCTGGAGCAGCCAGCCCCAAGACACCAAGATACTGCACCTGGTGCCTCACTTGCTGTCTACAACTTTCCCTCCCTGTCCAAATTATTTTTAACCTCAGGACCTGCTAGTCCAATCCCATCTGCATTCCTTGTTCTGCACAGCTAGAGGTAGCTGCCTGGTGAATGCCTTCCCTGTGGCAACATAGCAGTGCCAAGGACCTCATCCCAGCATGGCTAGGGCTGCTGCGGTGCCAGCTGTTGTGAAAGGCTGCCACAAACACCCAAACTTTCTTTCTAAATAGTCATAGTTTGAGTCTACACAACACTGTTGCACTGGTTTGTACACACTAATTTACACCCACTGATAAGTGCTCAGCTCTTTCATCTACACTTAGCTTAGTAGGGTAATTTTTCTTAAACCTTCTCCTTCCCAAGACCTTTCATTTTCAGAGAAGTGCAACTGAAACATTCATAAGAGTTTGAGGCTAGCAAGGAGGTATGCTTGTCCTCCTGTAAATCACCAGCTAGCTGAATCTTACACCTCATGGATGGCCTTCAAGTCTTAGGGAAGACATGCCAAAAAACCAAGAAGATTAAAATGGGCATACTTTGCTGTAAAAAAGCATTACGTATGGGTGGGAGGACAGCTGCCTCACTTTGCTCACCTTTCCTTACCAAATTACAAGCTCACTTTGGGGTCTACCTGCAGCAGAAAACTGAAGAATCGCCTGCTCCCCTCCCAAATGCTGGCTGCAGCTTCTCAGGTGAAAGATGGTCCCTCTGTGTTTCCCTGCATCTCTCCTTATCCCTTCTGCTATTGCACTGAATTGGATTAACTTTACCTTGCAACTCCCTCCACAGTCAATTAGAAACAAACCAACAGCTCCTGAGTAGCACCTAATTGGATTCCCCCAGATCTGACTGCATTAGCTGTCTGTCCAAGGCCCCTCTGACTTGTTTATTATTACCTCAGGCCTTGATGAACCCGTGGAAAATTGTATTATGCAGTACAGGCATAAAACCATTAGGACCCTTGAAGCTTGGTTGCTATGAAAGATCCTTTTCACTTTTTTTAAAGAGGAAAAACAAAAGGGAAATTAGACAAGAGAAAATAATTGTTTCTAAAAGCCTGATACCACCAACGTATTGACAGAGGCCAAGCTCTAAGGCCCTGTAGAGACAAGACTACACTAAAGTCACTATATGACTTCTTCTACCCTTATATATATAGCAGAAGAGTATCCCCCCAACAGCCTAGGCAGGCACGCCTCTATATCAGATAGTACTGGGGAGGAAAACAGAGTATGCCATTTGCAGTGATGGAAAGTCACTGCTCCAAAAACCACAAACATTTCCCAGCCAGTGGATTTAAATCCCAGTAATTCCCATGTACAGCTGAGGAAACAAAAACATACAGCACCAGGATGACTCTGCTTCGAGGCAGGCTTTGAACTCATTTTGCTACGAAGAGGCACTTGGGAAGTTGCACTGGTTATGACTAAAGAAAAAAAACCCACCTTTTAATACCTTCCTCTGTTACATGTGCAGTTGGAGCTACATATTTCATGAGTGCATCTATTATAGATATAATCTATAAATACAGGTATTTATAAAGAGAAATAGCAAGTATGGTTATCTATCTGCTCATCTGTATGTAGTAAGTGTGTGTGTGCATGCCAGAATTATTCAGTGAGAGTAAGGTTGTATAGCTCGAAACAGCAACAGCTTTGGTTTATTTCAGTTGCGAATTACGAACACAAAAAGCTGCATGCGAAGAGGTGCAATAAAGCAGTATAAAAGCAGGCAGTGATTAACAGCCCAGAAGCTTCTTTTATCAACTATTTACAAAGAAGCATTTAAATGTTTCCCCATCTCTGGGGAGCTGGCACTTAGCATTAAAAATACATGAATAACGAATGAAGCCTTGTGTGTCTTATGGCCTTTTAATAATGCAAAAATCTTCGGATTCAGGATATGATACAGGTAAACAAAGGAAAAAAGACTGGTAGGCAGAAAATAGTGTGAGATCCCTATGTAAAGGAGACTTTATAGTATGTGAGGGTTAAATTGTGTAACAGCAGCTTGGTGTCAAGCTCTTTTTCTAATCAGAAAAACAAACCAATGGGCAGGAATGCAGGGAGCAGAGGGTCCAGTTACCACTGTGACTGCAGTCCTGCTGGAGAGGGAGAGGGAAGGCAAGTGAGAGAGCAACAACTACCTTAAGGGCATCCTGCGTGTCATCGAGGCAGTAGACCCGGACGCTGTACTCCAGCGAAGAGCAGGACAGTGGTCCAAAGATGGCCAGTTTGAGACGTTTAGCTGCTGCTTTGGTGATTGACTGTCCCACCAAGGCATATGTGCTGAGGGTTTCTGTCAGGATATGGCAGGCCTCTGGGTCCAGCTGAATATAGCAAGGAGTTGTAAAGTTTTCCTCCCCGACCACCACCACATCCTAAGGGAGAAAGAGACCAAGTTAGAGCTCCTGACCCCTCAGAGCTATTCTCCTTTTAGTCAGCAATACCCCTTTCAAGCCTGGATGATGCATAAATTGCTGTTTGCACCTGATGCATCATCCAGGATTGAAAGGTGTATTGCTTTCAATGGCAAGTCCTTGCCGTTTACACCTTAGATTAATAAAGATTTACAATTCCTGATTCTGGCTTTTCTTCCACATAGGCACAGAGAGGGAATGATTTCTCTGGGGTGCTGGTGGTGATGATGGTGGTAGAAACTCTTCCTGTCCTCACTCCCTTAAGACTTGTGACTCTTTCCTCTGGGCCCTGCAGCAGCTTTTAAAGCTCTGAGCACTGTTAGGCAAACAATGAAAATATCACAAATACTTTATTGAAAAAGATATTGCAGAACTAATCATTTGGTGACCATGATTTAACATCAGTTGAATCAGTGGTCACAATGCAAATAAACAACCACCCTTCCCTTTCTAAGCATGATAATAAGGAGTTATAAAAACTCAAGGAAGGGAAGTGACCTCTGCGATGGCCAAGTGCCACAACTACCTGAAATATCACCTGCTGCTTTGTCAGATTAATCCTCCATGGGGAGACTGCAGGATGAAGGAAAAAAATACATACAGCCCAAATGCAGACAATCTCCCCACATTGAGGAGGACAACAGCTCCCTTGTTAATTTCTCCATTCAACCCTGAGTGTAATATCCTGCACACAACACAGGTGTTTTCAATGGCTTTGAGAGAGAGCAGAAGTGAAAAGGCAGCAACGGATGATGGCCACCTCTTGCAAAGCCACCATGTGCCACATGATACTCAGTGCAACTCATCTGTTCCATCCCTGCTGCCTGCAGGTCTGCAGCACAAGGTGCACATCTGGCTGTTGAGCAGAATGGGCTCAACTGAAATTTGGTGTTAAGCTCGGGCACCCTGGCCTCAGGGAAAGAAAATGTGCCATGTTTGTCAGAGCGGCACAATCCTTCTGGAGGGCAAGGTGCTGCAGTGTTGATTGCACCCTCTATGGCCACACCAGCAACCGGCTGTGGGATAAGGTGCTGGCCTTGAGCTATGCTGCAGGGGTGTGCATGCATATGCATGTGTGTATGCACATGTGTGCGTATGTGTGGGGCTCAGCTTGGAGGAGCTGCTCCAGAACAGAGCAAAGGAAAAAGATCACCATGTGGTGACCAGAGACCCTGTAGACACTGCGGAGGCTGTGCTGGCACCAGAGTGTGTGCACGGCTGGCAGAGCAACCGCTCTGTCAAGGGCAGGAGGAGGATGGAGAGAAAATGAAGAGGTGCCAGTAGCACACAGACACGAACAAGGAACATATGTGTGGTGCCAAGAGTCAGGCTGGTGGGGTGCAGATTAGCTGGCAAGACAGACCTGCGTTCGCTGCATGTTCCTTCCCAGCGTGAAGAAGAGCTGGTGACACAGGCAGAGGGACTAATGAAAAAGCTGGTTTAAGGCAACGCTGGGCACAGAGCTCTTGCTGCTGTCAGCCCAACTGCCCTCAAAAGCCTCCCTGACCTTATTAAACCCACCCGTAGGAGAAAGTGCCCTTGCCAAATTAATTATGTGAGAGCAAACTGGTGGCAGCAGGTACCCAGGAGCACAGGACTGGAGAGGAGGGCTTTGCCAGGACAGCACAGCCTTGCTGAAAGCATCACTTTATGCTTCAGTTATAGTGGAAGGCCCTTCTGCCACCGTGCCCCAGGACATCTTCCTGCTGCAGTACTGGCAAGGAAGCACCCCAGGCTCCCACCAAGACTGCACTGCGCAGCAACACTTGTGCAACTTTCCTGAGGTCACATGGTGCAGAGTTGGATCCTGGCTGCATCAACTGAATGAAAGTGATGCTCCACCAATGTCTTAGGAGGGAAAAAGAAAAGTAAGATAAAGTCTGTGAGTTTTATTAAGCTGGATTAAGTCTTGGTGCTGAAGCACGAGATCATTTGCAGCATTATTTTCACTTTCTTGAAAACAGACTATGAACCAGGAGAATGAAAACTGTTTTGTAAAAAACATTTTCTTATTTCTAGGGTTAAGTAAGAAATTCTTTCAGCCACTGCTTTTTATTTTGCCTTTTCCTTGTGTCCCCAAGACTTTGGCACTACATCCTGCCACAACCAAAAGCCCAAGTGCCAAAATCTTACAGTGAAGGCTATTTGATGGAAAATAGCTAGAAATAGGAGGCACCAAACTGCCCCAAGAAAGCAGCTCTGCCTGGGGAGTGGGCAGCAGGCAGCTTTGACACCTGGTGTTGAAGGGCACTGCTGCCTGCTTGTAGCAGCTGTGCATCTCACACAGAAAACTCAAAATACAGCAGCTGAAGGACTAGCAGAGAGCCCTGTGTGCAGTCAGTACACAAGCTGGAGCTCCTGAGCCTTACCTCCCACGGCCCCTGGGCAGCCTGGTGCTTCAGCTGGATTTGCCAGTCCTCCGTATTCGGTTCTGCACAATGGTGCATGGTTAAAATGACAGGCCGGGTTAGCAGGGCTCCTGGTGGGCCACAGCTCACCACCGGTGTCAGCAGGGTCTGGCTGTCTTCTATGGGTGGCCTGATGTTGGAACAGAAAAATGGATACATTAAATGAGCTGAAAAAGGCAAACCAGCATATTCAGGTATGTAAAAGTAAAAAGATTGTGCAAGCAAAGAATGGCAGGGTTTGGTTTGGGTTTTGTGGCTTTTTTTTTTTCCAAATCACAAAATGTGTTTTGTTTTTACAAATACCACCCATTTGTCAAAATGCAGGCTCAGGCAGCAAATTACAGACCACATTTGCTGAGCACCCTCCACTCTGACGGATCCTTGCAGACCGTATGCAGAAGTTTCATTTCAGCCACTGCCAAAATGTGGTCACTGCTGCGTTTAGCAGTTGTTTATGTTTGTATGTTTAGCTGCACACAAAAATGAACAGTAGCTCTTGTAAGCACCATGTGTGAGCATTATTTACCGTCTGCACAGAGAAAATTGAAGAACAGAGGAAGAGATGAACTAATAAGCAAGTCTGAAACCTTGTAAGTGGTATACAGCCCATCTGAGACGTGCAGTATGAGTTCAGAGTCATCACCAAACCCACTGATATTCCATTTTACCCAAAAGGCATTCAGATCTACTAGAACAGATATCACAAATATGCCTGCAGGGAGCAGGTGTCACCAGCGGTAGCGGAGAAAAGGCAAAGGAATGTTAAGAAATAGTGCAGAGAGCAAAATACACTTGCAAAGCCCAAGTTTCCTAGTGATAACCCAGAGCTGTTCAGTTAAAACCATGGCTATTGTCCAGTGCACTTGCTCCTAGTCACTAGGAATGGGTGTTACAGGATATCATGTAAATATTTATGATACACAGCACACACTGTAGTTTGAAAATGATTGTGAGTGTGTATGTGCGCCCATGTGCACTTGTAAACTATCCCAGACCAACTGCTGAGGAGCTTAAAAACAGAGGAAGCATGAGTGACTTTAACTATCCCGACATCTGGTGTATGACAAATACAGCTGACTGCGCCTCATCAACTGCCTCCCTAAATAATAGAGAGGACAAATTCATGAACCAGAAACCAGCAAGCAGGAGATTAAAAGTGTTCAATGTGATCTGCACGTAAACTCCAGATCTGCCCACAGGACCTCCCATCCTCTGCTCCAGCTAAGATTCAATCCTTTGTTGATTTACAAATGCTTCTATTTATTTACAGCTGTATTGTTCTTAGTTGAATTAGTTGAAAGAGCATTAACTACTGTTTATTTCTGCAACTCTCAACCTTCACTAAAAGAAAGCAAAATAGATAGCTGTAATCTTAGATAACATTTCCAGGGAGGTCAAATCACTACAAAAGCTGTTTTGATGCACAATTTATTGCACCTATTCTGGTTATTGCAAAGATATGTCCACAGGCATAGCCTAATTTTGTCTACCTTAATTCTCCCTGAATATTCTATTAACCTCACAGAACACGAAAGACAAAGTTTTACAAAATCCTTTTTCAAGGTGGGATGAAGGCACTTTTGAAAAGTATCTCTTGTTGCTACAAATGTTGTGGGAGGTTTTTGTAACATTTGAGGAAAAAAAAACAAAACCAAACCCCAAAAAGGTCCAGAATGGAAAAAATTAAATCTATGCAAATCAGTAAATCCAGATGATATGCATCCGTGGAAATTAACTGATGAGCTTACTAAATGACTTAACAATTGTTTCTGAAGAGCCATGGACTAGAAAGAAACAGCTGCGATATAGCTGCCTTTCAAAAAAGATGTAAAGTATAACAATCTGGACAGCTATCACTTATTATGCTGGTTATTTTAGCCTAACAAATAGCACACAAAAGAAATGAAACACTGGCAGCTAGAGTACCTAGTCCAGCTCCTCTTGAATGCTGCAGGGATCTCTGGATTCAAGGATTTAGAAGATCGGTGGTCATTTCTTGCAAGACTGAACTGAACAAATTATTGGGCAGTTTTGACTAAAATGTTAGTTCTTCCCTTCTTCCTCAGACTCATTTACTTTTTTTTCTTCATTTTTCTTTCTAAGAAGCAACAAGAAGCTTCAAAACACTCCCACTGTGCCAGTGGTGGTTTTACATGGTCATTACCTTGTGCATTAATGAGTATTTGAACAGTCTCCTGCAGTCTAAAATTCAAGAAATTTCAAAAACCACACTGTTTTATGAAAAAGATCTTTCAAAATTACAATATTTGTCTGGAAGGGTACAGATATAACAAGCCACAGACTTAATCATCTTGTAAACCTAACTTCATCTAAAAGACTACTGACCCATGAAGAAGAAAGAAAAAAACCCAACAAGTTACCATAGTTTTTTGACTGAATTACAAAACCAGCAGTCAAAAATAATTTAGGAGGAAATATATCAAGATTGCCATAAACAAAAATATCATGCAGTGCACTTTAGGTGAAAAATGAGTTAAAATTGACAAGAATCTGAGCACTGATGCATGCGGTTAAAAAAGCCAAAAGGTCATTAAAATAATACGGTACTGATAAATCATATAGCCTGAAGTTGTCTCAAAGTAAAATTAAGTTTAGTCACTGCTCCGTGACAAAATTTTGTTAGCTGTTAAATTTTAGGACTGTGATGGAAAGCATAATTCTGCTCTGCAACATTTTACATCTGATTAGCAGAAGTATAAAAAATGATGCAGAACACGAAGTCGGGCTGCACAGTCAGCAAGTGAGATGGGAAGCGGATACAAAAGTACAAAGGACATGCAAAACCAGCAAGACTTACTAGTTTTTCCCCAAGATGGTAAACAGCATCTTTGCCACCAGATTCACTGCCGAATGGATGAGATATGCATGCTCCTGACTTGGGTGTTTATGCTACAGGACACTCTGATGAGTGGCGAACAAAAAAATGGGTGAGTTGCAGGGATGCGTGACTTTGCAGCCCCTAATTGTTACCAGATACACATCTGAGTCCAGCACCCCAAAGTTACTCAACACTGCCAGTCCTAGTGACTGTCCACTATCTACCTCATGTAGATAAACCTTTAAAAACTGAGATGTAATGGGTTGCAGAGAAGTTCTTGAGTGGTATAAAACAGTGGTCAGTGTCCCTGAATGGGTGAAATCCCAGCTCTACTGAAGTCCATGCTAAACCTCTGACTCCTGTGAGGCCAGGATTTCTACTCACAATGTGGAGAATAATGTAAATAGCAAAATTAAACTCACAGATAGCAATTAATAAGGACTATTGCAAGTAACAATGAGAGCTGGAAAACAATGCAACAGATTCAGAGAGGGGGAAAAGATGGGTAGGAAGTAAAATCCTATTAATCGTACAGCAGCTCATTCTGCCAGAGCAAAACAAGTTCCAAACATACTTATTTAGTAGTAAAGAAAGCAATAAAAGTGAAAAAGATCTCAGGTGAGCTTACTGCAACACAGCAGGCATCAACTTGTAATGTGACATAGTGGCAAAAAGCAAATCTGATTTCTGCGGCTGTATGGGACAAGACCTGTCAGAACAGTCTGAGGTGCTTTCCTATCCAGCTGTAATGTGACTGCAGGTAGCAAGGTGTTTAGGGACCGCAGCAAGATCTCAGAAATAAACACCTGAAACCCAGAGGAATGAAGCTAAACCACTAAATGATACATACAGCAGAGAGGCATGCTATGACAGCTGACAGGAAAAAGGACCAAATATCCCTTGACAGATATTTTCTCACTTCTCACTGTTTCCAATTTCCATTTTAAAACAAAAGGATTACGCTTTACTATAGTTAATGAGAACAGAAACAGATGCAGTACACAAGATATATCATACAATAGATATTAATCTTTCTGCTTCAAGGCATAAACCCAACACTAATTGGTGGAATTAGTAAACAAGAAATCCCCCTGAGGACAAGTTATTTTGTAGTCATTCATTACGAGCAATTTTCTTCCTTCTCCTGGAGCAGGTGATGCAGCACCAGCAAAGCCAGGATGAGCCAGGCCTAAGATGAGTACCTGTCGTGACTGAGTATTGTGATTTCTTTATTGTGGATCACAGAAGATCCAGCACACAGACATAAGTAAACATAAAGAGCAAGGGAGTTATCTCCTCTAAAGCAGAAAGATCTATGAGCAGAAATCTTAAAAACTGTGAGCCAGAACATACTTTTAGGCTGTTATCAAAAAAAGAACCTGAGCCCCCCAAAAACCCCACGTGCATATGCTTCACTTTCAGCCTGCAGCAGTCTTGGGACAATTTATCAGATGAGATGGGCATTGGGCTGTATGACTCTGAAGTCTCTTCCTTGGAGGCAAAGAAGATGCTTTTGTTTTACAAAGATCTGACAGAAACTAAAAATCAATTCCCTGTTTAGCATTGCTATTGAAAGGCACTGACAGTAACTGAAAGGTCTTCAAGTATTTTCAGATGTTGTCCCATCCCACACTGCTTATCAAGAACATTCAACCCTAATTTGAAAGCAAACAAACTTTTATGCACTATATCTGGTCCCTTCACAATCAAATTTGTGTTTTTAATGGGATTACTCATTTGAAACTGTCTCCTTGTAATACACCAGACCATATTCATTAAGGTATGAATCAGACAGCAGATGTGAGCACAACTAGAGAAATCTCTACTTCTCAGTTGGCCTACATTGTGCTTCCTGGCACCATGAGTAGATCTTACACGCAATCACAGTAGCTCAGGAAGCACAGGATGGAGCAGCAAGAGAAGAATGGCTACAGCAACAGATGGCAACCCTTCTACACGGCTTAGCCAAAACTCACAGGGAAGACATTTTACTTGTCCTTTCATTCTTAGGGCTTTATTTTTAATACGTGTTCCTTTTTAAGTTACAAATTTAATTTGAATTCTGGACCGATCCTGATTCTTCTGTCAGTCTGCCTTTAGAAGGAAAATAATCTGAAATGTTGTCCTCTCCTTTTGCTCTTTTGCTGATGGTCTGGTTATTTTATGTTGTATTTTCCAATTACAGTGACTGGCACTTCATGAAATTGTCTTCTGGAGCTGCAAAGTAGTTTTTTTATGCAACTGAGATACAGACGGAAGGTGGAGAAATGAGATGCAGAAGGCTTCAATTTCTTTTACTTCACAGCTTAGAGTTTACTGGTGAAAAAACCAACATTGGTCCTTGGATCAAACTCATTGATTAGCTATGTGACGTTAATATAAAGTCTATACATACACTATGAAGAGACTGATCCAAATCCTGACAAGTCTCACCTGACCCTTCTCTCTTTTAGGGTAGCTAATTTGGAAGTTGTACAATTTATGTGTGTCTTTCGCCAAGATCTTCAGGAGTGCTGCTTGGTGCATTCTTCAGGGTTGTCACATTTTGTGGTCATGGAGACAACCACTCTCATTTCCATCATCTCCTGTGTGATGAATTATACAGGAGTGTCCTTCACTGTGCCATATTTAGTGCAGTTCTTGCCTCTGATTAGAGTATGCAAGAGTAGTTCCACCTAAAGCTGTGCAAGCTCGTCAGGGGTTCACAGGAACACGGGAACTGCCAAACAAGATCAAACCAGTGGTCCATCAAGACCCAGACACCATCTAGCACTGACCAGTGCCAGATGTTTCTGAAGGAAGCACACAGCTCCACAAATTTAGCTCACAGCTAAATTTGTTTTTCAACCCGAGGCGGTCAAGAAAATCCTTAGGGTTGGAGGTTTATACTCGTGCTATTTAATGCTTAGTTGTGTAAGACCTAGGCTCTCACGGATGCTCATTGGTATACAGATGCTCTTGTCAGGTTACTGGTCACAGCAATATGCTTATTTTATAGACGAAACCACAACTCCAGAAGGAACCCCTTCTTTTAAATCTCCAAGTTGGTGATACTTCCCCAGGCTAAAGGAGAGAGCATCTGATCACCACTGAAAAACTCAACAAGCTTCAAGACAGAAACCTGTCTGATGTCTATGAAATATTCTCATAGGCTTGTCATTTTTTTCACATATACACACACATATCTATACACATACGTATACACACACATACATACCTAGATACCATTTTTCCCACCATAGCCACGTCATAAAGCACATGGACCTTTCTATGAAGTCAACATGCCATCCAGGGATCAGAGCCCGGTAGCTGCTTGCCATTCATACTATCCTGAATGACAGCAGAATGAGGATGAGCTTGCAGTGCAGAAGCAGGAAAATAAGCCTGCTGGAGTACTAGTCCAGGGAAAGAGAAAACCCACTGTGCCATACACATGCTAATACACTTAGAGAAAAAACTGCCTCCAGGTGGCATTTATTGCAAACCACCAGAACCCTGGTTCTCTGCAGAAGGATAAGGCTTCTAGTGTGAGCCTCCTGCTCTCACATGTTTCGATGGATATGAAATGGAATGAGTGCCTCAAAAAGCTCTCCTAATCAATCTGCAAGGCAACATAAAGAGTGTTATTGCTGGGTTGTGAAGTTTCTGAAATTTCTGTGCAACAGGATTCAGAGCCTAACTGGGGAAATGTATTTGGAAAACGAATGAAAAGGGGAATTTGCAGGACTCTGAGGTACAACAGATTTCCTGCTTCAGCTTGACTGTTCCAAAGTTGTTTCCTCTTTCTACAAACTAAGGGTGAGCTAAACTTTATGTTGCTGTAGATTCGTGAGCTATGATGGTGAGACTGTTGCTGCACTGATTCTATTTAGGGTAGCACTACAGGGACCACATTCTTGCCTCAGTGGTGATTGTATATCAAGAAAAAGAGACTGCCTTCATTTCTGTTTATAACACCCATTTTATAGTTTTCTATATGTCCCCTTCCAAACTACATCAACACACAACAAGACTTTTCAGCCCATACACATTTATACAGTGCTCATGAAAATAAATACAGGATCTCACAGGGTTTATAGAACACACTCCAGCTACCATTTGGCCACAAAAATGAATGTCTGCATCGAGTCCTTACTGTGGACTATCACTCTCTGCTGGAGTGCTGTAAGAGTGCAGCAGCAGATCTGAAAAATAATTATGCCACACACTAACTTGTGGTACTCATAGGATTCCAATTATATGAAGCAGTATCTGTGGCCCATACAGTCAGAAAAAAAGAGGTTCTGACTGAGCTGCAGCTCTGTTACGGCAATTGAAGTGTCTGCACAGCCCTGCAGCAGGAGACCATTACAGCTGGGTGCTGGGTGCCATCCACCCCATTCTGCACTGGGGAAAGGGATCAGGTAACAGGGGGATGATGTTGCAGTCCTGCAGAGTTTAAGCCCTTTTCAGTGAATATTCAGTAGTCAAAGATTTAGACAATGGAGACCTAATGGACTCCATTTTAAATGTCCTAGAGGTAGTTGATCTCCATGAGCATGAAGAGCCTGGCATGCTGGAGGTGGCCTGAAAAACTGTCACAAGTCAAATAAGCAGCTGGGTCCTATGCACCCATAAAGAGATTACCACCACAACAGAATGAGCCCTGCTGCCCCAGGGGAACGAAATCACTTCTCAAAGTCTTCATTGCAGGTGAGGACTCACACCCTTCCATTCACTTCTGCAGGCATACTTCAGTATACTTGCTCAGTTTGGCAGACAACACAGTTCTAAACATGGTTTTCCCAATACAGGTTAACCCAGGCTTCTATCTCCTGGGTGACCTGCTGAGTAACAGCTATCACAAAGCACACAGAGGGGGCTTTATGACCCCTAAAGAAATAAATCAGACTAGCCTGTGACATTGTTGTCCACAACTGCATGAATGGGAAGCAGGGATTCCCTCCATAACTGGCAGGAAATAGAATAACTGTACATATAACTCCTCCTAGGAATAACTTTACTTTTTTATAATTAGGAATTTTAAAAAGGGAGATTTAAAACCAAGTTGAATAAAACTGGATGCCCTCTGATTTAAGTTTTGTTTTTTTTTTTTCCTTTTCAGTGCTGTTTGTAAATGTCTTTAAAACAGCCAAAACAAACAGGAATACAATCAATACTAGGTATGAACAGAGACACTTTTTCTGTAGCTGCAATTAGCTGTTTTCAAAGAGCAGGTCATGAATAATGGATGCAAAAGGGTGGGTGGGGGAGTTACTTAATTTTTCTTTAAGCAGATTATTTTAGCATGGGTGAAAGATTACCAGTCGAAAGAACAGTGTTCAGTATCACGCAGTGTATAAACAGCTGTGGCTTAGCACATAATAAAAGCCATTAAACGGCTGAGCCAAAAAACCTATCTAGCTATAAGGAGGGAAAAGAGGCAAAGTACCATGTAATGATTGTTTAGATTCACATTTGCCATTCAGCCTTTGTGCACGAGTCCATTCTGCAGACTAAGAGCTCACCTTTCTATTCATGAGGTTTTTCTAAACTGCTTCAAATGGTGACCTTTTTGGAAACTCTTTTTTTATTCCAGGCCTGCTAGATGACTCAGTAGATGTTAAGGTCTAGAATATGAATTGGCCACACATGCAGGTAACAGGTGAGAATAACAGGGGTTATCCCAGTATTGGCTCTGGGTGGCCCTTGGCCTGGGGCTGGGCAGAACAACCTGCTTGCTTCTACCTCAGAGCAAGGAGGGGTGGAGGACACCAAAAGCTTTGGCTCCATCGTCTTCACTTCATGGACTAGCCAAGCCCATGGAGGGTAAAATAACAATTCACCTTCATTGTCATAGGAGAGGAGATTTTACAAGCCAGACGCTCAGGCAGCTGTCCCTCTGCAGAGCAGACTTGTCACCTTGCTCCTCCACAACCTTCTCATTCACAGCATAGGTCTTTATCATGAGGTTACCTCACACCTTCTCTGCCTCACCAAACTCATGCTGGCACGCTTTCCTCACTTCTGGCTATGATTCAGCATTCCTCCAGCCTGAGGGCTTGCTGCAGAGTGCAACTCTCAATTAGAAATGCAGAAGTCTGAGCTTGTTTTGTGGCAAAGTTTATCCTTGCTCGCATTTTACCTCCAAGTCAGAAAACAGCTTCTGTTTTACAGAGTGCTGTAGGCTTTGCATAAGCATATTACTACAGGTCTTTAGGTACTGCATTTTTCCCCTCCGTTAATACATGAGCAAATGAAGGCAATCTTTTACCTCATGTTCTCCTTCCTGTGAACTGTCACATACATTTCATAGACTCTCCCTTGTGGAACAGCACCCGCTGGGATCAGCAAGCTTACTCCTGCAGAACAGAGGAGACACAAAAGATGATAAATTGGAGAAAAAAGAAACTCAGGCAAATGGGCCTGTGGAGGGATAGAAGAGGCAGAAGCCTGCAATGCCAGGTTTCCACCCAGTCTCACCAGTAGACTCTACATGACCTCAGCAACTTGGGAGTAAAAGTATTTACTGTGACCCATGTCTCTGGCAGTGAGATAGTTTGTTGTTACTCCTTTTGTGCATCAGCACTGAAATACGGGAGTGGAGAAGAGGATTTTCTTCCCTTCCCTTATATTTTATTTAAAGAGCAGACAGACGCTTACGCTGCTGCTTACCTTGTAAAATGATGGGAAAATGAACAACTTGGACTAAAATTTCCAGCAGCTGTAACAGGACATCTCTCTCTAGTCAATTCTTACTTAATTAAAATTGGGAGAGAAAGGCAATGGAGGACTGTCCCAGGAAGCAATGAGAACTAGTTGTTTCCTGAAAGATGGCTTCTGTGACTGGCATCCTGTCTTCTAATGTACTCAGCTTCTAATTAGACTACTAGGGAGACAAAATTTGGTTTCTTGGTATTTTGAATGCATAAAGTGGTTCAAAACTTGAGTATCCAACCTTGAAAAAAATGTGGGCAAATATGCTCGGTGCCCTTTTCAGGGGCAATTAGCTGCACACTTGGCTACGAAGCCCTGCCATTACTGCCATTTCAGAAATGTCCTGTTGTTACACGACAAACACAGCACATGAACCAGTTATTTCACTCTGCTGGACACGTCTCAGCCAGCTGTCTTTGCAGATGTAGATTAGCTGTGAATCAGTGGCAATGATTTTAATACACTTATTACTACATAGCTGAAAATAAACCTACAGGCAGACTATTTACATATATACATATGCAAAAGAGAGGCTTTATAGAAAGCTTGCACAGCCCTCTTTTCTTTAGCCCATGTGGTTTGGTTACACTGGAGACCTTCCACATGTTGGTGTACAGGGGCTCAGTCCCATACCTGTCTTTGAAGGGTAGAGAATAGCTAGGAAAGCATTTTGCATGAACACCTTCTGACACTTGTTTCCTTGCAGGCATGTAACAACCTAACCTATGCATGTCCTCAGCTGTAACAGGGCAAGCATAGTGTAAATTAAGGGCTTTATCATATCACTAGGAGTATATACATACATCTAGAAGCAACATGGAGGCATACATGGTAGTGGTAGATAGATTGATATATATTACAAAACATAACCATTTTTAAGGGATTACAGCAATAAATAATATTTTTTTCCTCTATAAATTGATATTAATATATGTGAATTAAATGTGACTAATAGACTGATGACAATGTGCACCGCCACGGCATAATAAACCTGAGTATTAATATCTACCTTCAGCTGCTACTTAAAGAAATGTGAAATCCAGAATTGTATAGCATGAATATTCAACATTGTTCAGCAGTCAGCATCAGATTTCTTTAAGTAGTTAAGCTTTCACTTAAATTTAATAGCTATTTTGCCCCCCTATTCCATGGTAGCTCAAAGAGAGTGCCTACAAGGGTACGCACCACCTCTTTTTGGTCAGGGCACCGTGCTGTAAAATGGCCAAGAGTTGACCACGAGATGCAAAGGAGAAAACCCCCACATCCAGTGTTTCATGCATTTGATTCAATCCCACTTCAGATGTTACTGTTGCTTCTCATTAGTATGCCAAACCACAGGAACATCTAGGTGCTGAACTTCCTCAACACTTCATTTAGGAGCCAAACAGCAATAAGCCTCTCCCAAAAAATCCAGCTGCAAGAGCTGAGCTCTCCCAAGGCTGCCCAGGTACTACCTGGATGCTCTGAACTTGCCTCCTGATGCCCAGATGGCATGAAGGCGGCCTAGCAGCCTGGCCTCGTACTGTAAAAGACTGAGTAGCACTTTGCAGTTACATCAAAAGGCACTTGATGCTCAGTCCCTCTCTTTCCTAGTTGTAAAAGAAGTCAGCAATACATGTAACAAGGTGAGAAATACAGAAGAGACACTCTTGGGTCTTATTTTTCTTGTGTATGTAATGTGTGCAGGAAAAAAGCCTTAAAAAAATTAGTATTCTGGTGTCCTTCAATACCACATAGTCTGAAATGAATTGGAAGTGGAACAAACAATTTGTTTTTTAAATATTTTGTCCTTTTTATGTGCGATAACAAGATTGAGGCTTTCTGGCTTGGAGTCCCTTTTCTAGAGCTGCATGAAAGGAAAAGGTGAAGGATGCTGAATTGCACTTCACACAGGGAAGCTCTAAAGCCTTGCATGTCTCATAAAGTGGCTAAGAGCCCTGCAATATTCTGTTTAAAAGGTGGCCAGGACTTTGGGGAAAGAATATTTGAAGTACCTTGGTAAACCTGAAAGGGAGAGGAAGAAAACATCTGTTCTGAACAAAGAAAAGGCAGGGTCCTTGCTTTTTCCAGCATAAAAACAAGCTAACTCCACTTAAAACCACAAAACAATCACACCTTTAAGCCCACAGTGACTAGCACTTACCTGAGTTGGGAATTACTAAGTGACCTCCTAAGGAATTGAATGTCCCAAATGCAGTGCATGATGGGTCAGTCTGCCGAGCAAGGCTCTGGTTCTTCAGGTTCAGGGTCTCATTCTCCAGCAGTGACTGTGTAATCTGTGGGGACAGCTTGGAGGAGAAGTCAGACAGGTCCTCCTGGGGGGTGACTGCACTGGAGGTGTTATAAACTTTGATCTTCAAGTTGGGCAGTGGGTCCAGGATTGGAGAATTGGTCATTGGGATTTTATCAGAGACATCGTGCAAGGCATAAACAGGACCCCTGTACATGGCTGCAGCAGAAGTGAGGTCTGGTGGCACAGCCAGGAGGTCTGCATTGGAGATGAGAAGAAAGAACACTATTAATTCTCTATTCTGATAACTTTCTTCTGGATAACAATTCAGGTTTATATTCTGTGTTTTGCCTTTCATACCAAAGGTTAAGATATGCAATGTCCTTGCCAGACTGACCTTCATCTCCTTTTCCATGCATACTCCCAGAGCTTGTATTGCCCCAGCTGCTATGGAATCGAATTGTCATCCAAAATTACAGCACATTTCTGCTCTCAAGATTTTTCACTGGGATTATTTTGTTAGGCTTCACTCAGATTTCAAGTATGACATGCTTAGCTTCAGGGCAAGATCTTTTCCTTACTCAGTAGATAACATTTAATTACCTAATACCCCCTCCCTAAATTCTAAGTGACAATCATTAACCAATTTATCTAATTGGCCTAACAACAGCATTCCTAAAATAAAAGACAGAACAAACCTATTAAGTCATTGTGCCCACAACTCCCTGCAGTGGGGCATTAGTACCTGCATCACACTTTTTGGAGATTTGTTTTAAAAGTACCTCCGATAAAGAAAATCACACTTCTGCTAGTCTACATGAAAGCCCTCTTGTAACTTAGATTTATTCTTCTAACACACATACTGGGATAAAAGAGGAACCCTTCAGCCAAAATACGTGTCTTCAAAAAGCCAGTACTACCTTTAGAGGTTGTTTTGTTTTTTTTCCCCCTGGCCAATGAAGTGTAGAAATAATCAAGCTGTTATGCACCAGTGATAAAAAAGCTCATTATTAAATTATGTTTGGCTGCAACTTCTTCTACATTGTCTATTGAAATTACAGTATTTCTTAGACTACTGTTTATGCCTGTAGAGACAGGGCACTGGAAAAATGGCTATTAGTGAAATAAAATGGAGGAAGATGCAGTAGAATTGCTGTACCATAACATCACTCTTGTGATTAATCCTGCCTCCATTGTTTCTGTTAGACTTTGATTTAAATTTCAGCTGGACCTGTATTTCCACGAATGTCTCTGTGTTTCACTCTTGCATTCACGCTCTCTTCAGAAGCTAAATTCCTCTGCTTTATGCTCTTGAGCACATCTGAAAAATGCCAATGTGGGTTTTGAGCACTTGACTATCAGAAACAAATGGATATGATCTTTCTCCCTTTTAACAAGTGCCAACAAGTATCCAGCCACTAACATTCATGCAGCCCAAGAGAACATAACCTTATAGAATCTCCCTGAATTGGTCAACATGGAGTAGAGTGAAATGACAACTAACCTTGCCTTGCAGCCTTGATATTAACAGGCTGAAATCCCCCATTTAGCGCCGAGGAGTCAATAATATCTGACTCAAAGTCACGGTGGTTCTTGCGATAGACAAACAGGGCCACGACCACGGAAATAGCTAGGCACACGATCACGGCTATGACGATCCCAACGTAGAGAGCAACATCGTCTGAGTCAGGAGCAGCTAGAAAGAGAGAGGCCAGGAACCTTGAAGAAAAATGCTCTTCACAGGCACTTTCAAGAAAACAGATTCTTACTATTCTCGTTTCCTGCACATATTTACTACCCTTTTTATAGGCTAATTTAAAATCCATTTCCAAAGCTATATAACAGGTCTATGCCCTTTTGATGGAAAATGATCTTTGATTTCTTTCTCACTCGTGTTCTAACTCATTCCCTATCTACTTGTTCATCTATCTAGTACCCAGGCTGTGGAATACTAAGTATAACATGTTATAGACTTAGTCTCATGAAGTAAATCCACCCTATGAAATAAAATAGTATATCTTAGTGATGTGGCATCATAATATTGGTATTTAGTGGCTCATCTAATCGCAAAAGCCATATTGTGGGTTTTTAAACTTCAGAAGTCTAATTAATTAAAAAAAAAGAAGTAAAAAAAAAAACCAAAATCTATTTTCTATTAAATGCCTGGAATATCAGGATGTTATTTGTGGGTTTGTTTTTTTTAACTATAACGTGTCACACCATTTTTGCCTTCCATCCATTTCTGTTAAAAAAATAATCTGTTAAAGCAGAGGATCAAACACTGAATTCTCATCACTGGCATTAAGGCATACGTATTTGGATAAAAGCTGAAGCAAGTAGAAGAAATAATGTGGTAATTTACCAAAAGGAACCAAGATTTATTATGGCTGTCTTGTAAGAAAATGGCTATGATATTTCTACTAGCTGCTTATACTGTATCTTCAGCACTAATTCCAGGCTAATCTCTAGCATCATTATCCACCAGTCATTTTTTTTTTCCAAAAGGTATGAATATGTGATCAAAATTTCATGTGTTTCTATACAGTGAAGAATCCCAGTTTTAGAAATAGCGTAATGAAAAAAGAAAGTGCAAAAACAAATCAGACTTTTTCAGTATCCCATTTTTCTTAGTTTGAAACATGTGAAATCATTTTTATTCTCTTTTTTTGCTCCCTGCCTTTTAGCCATTTAAGCCAAGACACCCTCCAGCTGCAGAGGTAAGAGCTGGCAGATGTTGAAAGGGACTGATCAATCTTCTTAAGCTCCTGGCTATCAATCTTCCATGTACCAGCCTCAAAACATCACACTGTTTTTCCCCAGCAGTTCAGGAAGTAGATCTCTGAATTCCAGCTCAAATAAAAGTTACTCCTCCACCACACTTCTTCCATTTGCTAAGGAAATTTTAATGAGAAAAGGGTTCATTCTCTCCAGTTTCTGTCTCCGAGGCAGCATCTTTACCCATTTTCCCCACACATGAGGGTTGTTACCATTCTGTGTCAGCCCACTGACAGCAAAACACTGAAACTGCTGTCAAGCAAGCAGCATGCCACTTACTCTGATGAACAGGTTCCTCCTTTGCCTAGGCATACAGAGCTGGCATAACAGTGAAGCTTGACCCAAAGAACAGCATCAAATTAGCATTCAGGAATGTAAAATCAAATATTAAACTTACAAGAAAATCCATATTCATTCTGGGTTCTCTGTTCAGTTGAAATAGGATAAATGAAACCTTAAAAAGAAAGAAATTAAACAAAAATAGGAACAAAATCAAATTAATGAGAACAAAAAAGGGAAGCATGAAAAATGGTTTAATTAAAAAAAAAAAAAAAGGAAAAGAAACTGATGGCGCTTTAAAATTCTGATATAGCACAGAATTATGATTTTGCATCCCCTGTCTGCTCCAGAGCTTTACTAAGAATTAATAAGCAGGCAGATTGAATTTCTAAGCCAAAATCAGTCTCGAGTCACTAACTTTGGAGTGCTTAAAGTCTTTCTTTTATTGAGCATAAACTCTAATGGTTCTAATTTATTTCAGACATCAAGGGTCATTAGCATATGGAAAGTCTTTTCTCCCTATCCCTGCCATATGCTTTAATTCCAAGGAAATGTTTGGTAAAGCTCTAAACAGTTTTTTTTATTAAATTACAGTAGCTTGTTGATCTAATAGAGCTAAAGGAGACCTGTCATCACTGGTCAGAGGTTAAACACCCATTCACTGAGCAGAATCCATACGCAAAGCCCTCTCTCTGTATTTCTTTGGAATTATTTTATCCTTTCTTTAATACTTGCTCAATAGGGATTCCTCAGGGAGTGAAGAATTTGTCAGCAAACAGGAAACTGAGTGGCTTCTCTTCAAAATTATTACAAAATCAATAAGGCCTCTGGGGTTATAGCATTATTTATTTGAAATCTTTGCAAGCACCATACATTGACAAAATCATAATGCAATTTACAGCTGCATTTCGGAAAGGACAAATAAGAGAGATCGTTTCTTTTGTCTTTTCTTTCTGCAGTTCCTAGCACATGGCACACTGGAACTGCTTAGTGTGAACTCACTAAACATCTCCCAGCTGCTTTCCATTCATACAGGAAATTAGTAAAATGCCCCCAGTCCCATCCTGCTGGAAAGGTAAATGACAAATCCAAAGTAAGCAGAGGAGCTGTTGTCAGGGACAGGATTAGAGTTGGTGTAAAACAGAAGGTACTTCTCCTCCGTCACCTTTCCTTCAGTGCTTTTGAAGGGAACTTCACCCCCTCCCCTGTGAGGAGCACCCCACCTCCCACACTGTGAGGAGCCTGCACAGCCAGGGGCTCCCTGCAGGTGAAATGAAACTGGAAAATGCACTCCTGGTGTGTGCGTAATGCACAGGATCACATTACAGGCAGGCCAGAGTAATAATCCCCAAGCTCCCAGAAATGCTGAGCTTGGGTGCTCAGCATCTGTTGTGCTTTACATATCTCTTCCTGCTTGGCAGCACTGCTTGCTAATGAAGACATAGTCTATCCCAATCGCAGGTACAGACACCCCTCTGCTGAAATTTCTAGATATTAACTCTTGTGCAATGCTACTTTAACTGAAATATCAGAGGAAGAAGAGCTACTTTTTCATGATGATGTTTTTTCTGAGGTATCATGGGACAGACTATACTGCCTGCAATATCTATTTAAAACTTTTATTTCACAGCAATGATTCCAGCCTTACAATTGCTTTTAGAAATATTATATTCTTACATTCATTTACTTGGTTCTTTGAGGCAAGTTCACCTATGTGTACTCTCAGCATGCATACTCAATCTTTCTTAATCACTGCTTCCTACTTCTACTAGTGTACTCCTGGTATGTGACATAAAAAGTCAGGTGAGCAACTTCTGAGGGCTCGAGTGAGTGCTCATCAAGTCTGGGCATGAATTTACAGTACCCTAGTTACTCCCCACTTGCTTCCCAGATGAATGCTAAGGCCCATATTTAGTCAACCTAAATTTCAGCTATAGCCTTATGCCCAATATTTCCTTAGGCAAGATGCCTCTGGAGACCAAGACGCAGGCAGCAGGAAATACGAGGCACAAGGACAAGGTAGAATTTAGGCAGGCTGCATCTCCAAATGCCTTTTTGCTTCATACTTAAATCCACTGGGAAAGCTGAGGACATCTCCCTGCACTTCATGTGTCTCAGCATGTTCTCAGGGGACCTCACATCAAGCAGTATGCATCCCCTGGCTCTGCATCATCCATGGAGCTTGACCTCACTGTGCAGAACTAGGAAGGCTATTCTTCTCTCCTTATGTTGCATTGCAGCTGGCAAGTTTTACATTCAAAGTTGTGTGTTATTCCTGTCACATCTGAAGTGACCTATCAATTGCCACTCAACAGGCACAAAGGATGGCACCGCCTGGATCAGCTGTGATGTTACTGAAAGCATTCTTTCCTCCCAGGAAAACGCTATTTCAAATTCAAATCTTTTCAGCAAAGTAAACACTGTGTGGTCCTCAAATACTCTACTAGAAATTTACCTCATTGAAACCTCTTCATAGACCCTGTTTGCTGCAAACATTTACTTGTGTCTCACAAGTTTGCATAGATTTTCTTACTGCTTCAGAGAGCATCCTTGCAGCTATGTAAGAGTGTCACCAATTTCTTCAACAGAAAGGTTTTGTATACGTATTCAAAGGCGTATCTGTTAAAATGAGAGGAAGAGGCAAGGATACTGCTCACTACTTCCATTAGCCTCGCAAACCCAAATGTTTAGTGAAGTATGCCTGATTTTATTCTCCTCTGTGTGCTGTGAACTGAACCAAGCACTCAATTCCAGCCAACTCTTTCTGTGCAAACATTGTTTGGCTTTCACAAGTGTCTTCAAGGTCACATTTACAACCTGAAAAACATGTTTTTTACATAAAAGGAAGGTGTGGCCAAGGTGGAAGGGTTAAGGGCTGTTGAGTGAGATGCCTTGTATTTGAGTCATGGGCATGCCAATTCTTTGATGAGGGACAAGATTTACGGGTGATGGTAGTGGCTGGGCAGGAGGTAGTATTAATTGTAGAATCATTTGGTTTGGGTTGGAAGGAACCTTAAAGATCACCTAGTTCCAACCCCCTGCCACCTTCCACTAGATCAGGTTGCTCAAAGCCCCTTTCAACTACAAGGGGCTGGACAGCCACAGCTCTGGATAACCTGCTCCAGGGTCTCACACCCCCTCAAGGTAAAGAAATTTGTAATAGCTAATATACATCTACCCTCTTTCAGTTGAAAATTATTCCTTCTTGTCCTATCACTACATGCCCTTGTAAAAAGTCCCTGCAATGATGCAAAACCTGCTGGGATTAGTAACTGAAATAATGAAGAATGATTTCCCTCTTCTGTTCAGTGTAACTGCAGTGAAAAGAGACTTTTCCTTGTGGGTTTATTTTTTTTTTCTCCCTTCTTGTATGAACAGCACTGCTTGGCAAGTACCTGAGGGACTTCTAACAGGATCATCAAAATTTTAACGAGGGTGTATTTAGAAAGGTGCTGGTGGGTTTTACTCAAGGAAGGCTGCTGAGGCTGCTGACTCCCACTCGGAGCAGCTGGTTGCACAGTGAGCTACTTGCTTTGAGAAAAGTAATTTAAGCTTCTTCCTGCAACTTGTTGGGAAATGTACTTTTTCAAAGGGGCTTTTGATGTTTTGTTGTGAAGCTTACTGCTGGATGAGTAAAATAGTAATAATCATACTTCCCACTTGCAGAGTCCCTCCCGTTTGAGGCTCTCAGAGGCCTAGTGGGTATTTGTTTCCCTCATTTTACAGGTACCTCACCCTATGTGATATGTAGAGAATCAATGGGAGGCTTGGGTTAACCTACAGGAATTGTATCACTGTAATTGCACACTAAATGCATTCATTAAAAAGGCTTTAATTAAGTTGATGTTTCTCCATGCATTCTACTTTATATTCCAATTTAGGCTTGTAAATACATTTTTTGTCCCTGTGGAAGTGCTTCTTTAAGTGTTAACGGTGGGCTTTTTTGACTAACATAATCACACTAGCACAAATCTCTTATACAAATGCAGAATGTATCATTATAAAGGTGCATTACGCAGGCATTGCCTATTCTCTTCCTTTAAAGGATGTGAAGAGCAATTTAAGCACCTTTATAATGATTTAAACCACAGGGGAATGTGGAGAAAGGTGAACATGTCAGATTGTACTGGAAAGATAAACCAATCCAACACTGGTATATAGAAAAGACTTCAGCAGGCTTTTTATCAATTTAGTTTAACTCAATTTCAGCATCAGTCACACTTACAGTGATTTTGGGAATTGTGACCATTTAACTAAATAGATTTTGAAGCTCATTTAATTAGTTTGGTGCAGTTTGTGAAGGCAGATGATCCCCAAACACTGGGAGTCCAGCCTGAGCATTCTGGTCCCTTATGTCTTGCTCTGACCTTCTGGGAACGCAATTGTGCCAGAGGCCGCAAGAGACATAGCGGCGGGTCTGTGTGGCTGAATGCCCTTCAGTGTATCTGCATGTGTGGGATCATCTGCCTTAGGAAGTTAGCTCTGACAAATAGGCAGGCTGACCCCTTTTACAACATGAATTCATCTGCTGCAATTTTCCTTGGGACAAGTAGATGAACCTTCTGCCAATTTGGGGAAAATGGAACATTTGGGAATAGAGAATCTTAGACCTATGAAAGGTAATTATGCAGAGATTATGGCACTGACCCTCTTGGGACTGAGACTGAAAGAGAGTGCCACCAAACATGTCATCAAAACAACGTTTCTAAGCTCTTCTATTCTTCTGGGGGAGAATCTACCCCTGAGAATATCCGTGAGCACATATACACACACACAATGTTCAGACTGGAAACTCAGTATCATGACTATGAGCATCCTGAAATCCTGTGCTTGATTTTACCTAGAAAGCCATGGGAATACTACCTTGGCCTGCTAACTGGCATATTTTAAAGACATTTATCCCTGTGATACAAAACATTAGGTCACAGCTTCATGCAGAAGGCACTTTGTAACTGGCTCCCCTTTTGGGGATTTTGCTACTTGTCTTGTTATAATGAATTTATATTAATGGATAGCAATTTTAAGGTGAATTGATCAAATTATGAAAATATCTGCAAAATACTTTCAATATTTGAAAAATGTTTGCAAAAAAAAAAAAAATCACATAAGAGAGAAAGAAGAATTCCCAGTTTTCCATTTGTATTTTCCCAAGCTTCTTTCCCTCTTCCAAGCCAG